AAATCATATCTACACATATTTGCAATTGCATTGTCAACTAAATTTCAAGCAGTACACTCTCATTCATGATTCCTAACTATCCAGGAGTTTTTTAGAAGTGTTAGCACTAAATATTGGAATATTTGAATCAATCCAGAACAATCAACCATATTCAAACTATCTATAGAATCATTGAAAACAGTTCAGGATCCAAACTTTTAGAACAGATTCAGGACTATTTGGAACAATTTAGGAGAAACTAGAAAAGTCCTGAACCATTTAGAACATTTTCAACTGAATAAAAAATCTATCATGTACACCACTGAATATAATTGTAATCGTAATTGTAATGGTAACTTTTTTTCGTCTCGCAGGAATTGAAGTTAAGACTGTTGCTCCTGCTTAAAGCGATCGAGCGTTCACCGTTAGTTCTTTGCGTCTATTTAACTCTGGGTATTGGTTTTTTATCAGCGGCATTCCGCGCAATAATTACTTCCGATGCCGGCCTCGTAATGATTTATAGAAGTAAACAAATCCGTAATTTCTTAATTACGTTCGAATTCGATACGAGTTGTTTATTGCCAATCTATTTATTGGCTATTTAAATAGCGCTTTCGATTGGAAGAAGAGCCGACCCCGGAGAAATCCGCTCGGGCATTTAAACGAACGCGAAAGGCCCCTTGTAGAACGTACTAATAGATACAAATGCCTCGGTACACCAGCTAGTGCAACGCTAAGGTATGGATTTCCGAGAAATCCGAGCGAATGCTCGGCATATTACCGTGCCGGCATGATTTGTTGGCTAATAACGCATTTTCTAAACAATGAAAGTGTCTCATTAAAAGCGTATAAAAAAATATATTTCGCGTTTATGGTCGCCGTGAAATTTACCATTCGACGGTCCGTACAAGTCGCTCGTAAATTCGTATTTTTGTCGGAGGGCTCTCGCGATTTACGAGACGCTTAAAAACTAATTGATTTTTCCCTACAATAATAAATTATTGTAATAAAGTTCTCTTTGCGTTTATTATACCAGGTCAATCAGCGACGTAGGAATAACACCAAGTGCGAGAAAGAGAGTGTATCTCGCCAATGTAATTAGATTTTAGAAGGAGAAAATTGGTCGTGTTTTAAAATAGTTCAGGATAGTTTTAGAACCGTTCAACCGGTATTTAGAAACGTCCTGAATCGTTTAGAACCATTTTAGAACTATTTACAATTTTTCTTTAGTAAAACCTTTGATATAAAAAGTGTTTTTCCTATGTCAACATCGCCACAGGTGGAAGCGGTATTAGAACTAAAGCCTGTCCTGCTCTCCCCCATAAGGAGCAGTATTCAACCTGCGACAATACATCGTGATTGTGCAGTATCTTTGTTGAAAAACGGACGATATCTATTGTCTGCTTAGATAAATATTACCTGGTTCTCAGCGCCTCTGCTACTACTCGTCATTATTTCATCCTTTTTGTTTTATCCCTTTTGTCCATGTATTCCTCCGACATAGGTGGTTTTTTTCTTACAGTTTCAACTCGCCGCGTTCACAACACTGATTTCCTACAATTGAGAATTTAAACAATTGGCAAAACTGATTTTCAACTATTGGCTATACTGTGCTATTATAACAGTTGGCTACAGGGATTATAGTAATAAATCTAGTAACTTTTAAAGGTGCGTTTCGCAGGATCGTTCCCGATATATTAGAGGTGACGTTGGAGCTGCGAGGCAACTTTTGATGAAAACAATAATTACTCCTCGGCTGAAATGTTCGTATCGGGTCTCGTGGGTGATGGCGAGATGGAACGGGGCCGGTTCGTATAACGCGGTTTTATAATATCTCCGGCCGGACACGGCAGGCTGGTCGCATCTCCGATTTTTATCCTTCGTTGCGATTGTGTATGGGCTTGTCAGCGAATTTCCGCAGAAACAGAGACGGAATGCGATTCCATACACAGAAATTCCCCATGAGAAACAGTGTATACAGGATCGATTTTATTAAAATCTTTTACTAAATTAGTGGGACTGTTTGGATCTAAATGCACCTGAACGCGTTCTAAATGATTCTGGACTATTCTACCTAGTCCTAGAATAGTCCTAAATCTGCTCCAAATGATTTTGCACACTTCTAAATGGTTCTGAACAATTCTAAAACTGTCCTGAAAAATTTGAAAACACGAGCTATTGTGTTCTCTATTACAATAGACTACCAACCAAAATTTTAGCAATGTCAAAGTGCTATAAAAAGCGTAATTTATTCCTATTTAGTATCTACCTACTAAAAAACAATAAATTAGAAAACGAACGGTATTTATAACGAAAAATTTCGAACATAAATTTAGAAATGATTGATAAACATCGGACCATCTGCGAATATAATTTCCAGGTTTCGGTTAATTGCGTTCCAACTAAGAAAAAAAATTATACTTATACAACGCGTTAATTAAGATACCATTTAGACGTTATAAATCATATCGGATCGTTATTTATTCTCCATTACGAACGCGTATATTCCGATCTAAGGCGGCTTCGAAAATAGTCACGAATATTTCCTCGGCCGGTGTGTCTCGATTATTTTGAAATTTAGTAGAATTCAGCCTCGCACTTAAAGTTACTTATCATTTGTCAGAATGAATCGACGCAAATCAATAATTAATTTCGGCCGAAAGGAACAAAGAATTCGCCATTCGGTAAAAAAGCGTTGAAATATAATTTTATTCACCGATGATTCCCCCGGATAAGCGCTTGATGAACGGTCTGTTAGAAATCCGGTAACGTTGATTAATCGTTCGTAAAACGCTCGTAAATTCGTATTTAAAAATGTTCTTCGTGCGAGCGCCCTTACTATATCGAGCCTTATCACCCGTACTATATCGAAGCCGAATCACCACCTATCGAGTGAAGAACTCATCTCGTATCCAAGTGAAAACTTGGGAGATCCCGAGCAGTTTATCACAAAGCGGTCATTGTTTCCAATCGTCCTTATTCGCTTAGGGGAGACCGGTGCACCGAATCCTTAATACCCTTTATAGATATAAAAAATTTAATAAAGGCATTACAAATGCTCTAATAAAGTGCGCATCGTTCGGCTCGTTAATTGCCGCAATTAAAACGGGAAGGATGTAAATTGCCCCGCTCGTCCCGTCGATTTCTTGCGCTGTTCACGATCCGAGCGTACATTGCCCAAAAGAAAAGACAAATTAAGTTATTATCTTTCGTTCGGCAACGTGATTGATCACGGCAGATATGATTTATGTTGCCGTCGACTTATTACCGAAGAATTCATTCGAAGGCATTACGAATATTAGCGCAAACAAAAAGGATACGTTTGTTTTATTGCTCGATCTTCTCGCGATAACGCTGGAGGAATTAAACGATTTTTGGGATTCTAGACAGCATTCTAAAAGCTCGACAACATAAATCCTGCGGTTCGGGATGAAATTAGAGCATGATCTTGCACATAATTGTAAATAATTAACGAGATCCGCGCTGTAACCAATTGCTTTGTTAACATCTCACTCGGTTCCCAGCCTTTTTTTACCATCGTATGCGCACCGTAACCGATTCGAATTCTATTCTAATCCGAGTGGTATTTGTTATTACGGTTTTTTTTATCGTCGACCTCCTATCCCGCACTAAACGAATAGTTTGTGATAAAGACGTTGGATTGTATTCGAAAATAGCGATTTAAATTGGAGGTTTTTGGTGATTCGAACACCAAGGAATATGGTTAAGTGACGAAAAGAATAAGCAACTTATCTGTTGAAAAGTTTACCAGTTATAGAGAAAGAAGGATAAGAAATTATACAAGATAATGTATAAGGTATTCAAAGATTAAAAGATTTTCGAGAAATTATTACACTAAGACAACTTTTATAATGGGTTTAATGGCTATTGTGGTTTGTTTCTCCGGCGGACTGTAACACAGAAGTCGGTCGATTCGGTCCTTATTACAGGGAAGGCCGAAAAGATCGGACGTGAGGAATAAAACAAAACCTATTATTTGGAGTTCCTCCGCTCCGCGGGGATGTAGGTGAAGTTGTAAAGAAGGCGGCCTTGAGCTGCCAACACTCGAACGAAAATGTCTTCATCACAAACCGGCCAAATCGAGTACGCCCGATGGGATGTGGGATAGCGCCCGTTCGATGGGTTTTATTCGAACGTTATTCCACAAAACATTTTGCATATTTTGTTATTTATACATTTACATGGTGTCCCAAAATAGTTGAGATCTTGTTGAAGCTAATTGACAATGGTAGAAACGTTGGTAGCACTGATTTTAAAATGTCATTCACCTGTTTCTTATATAAATTAATATATTATAATAAATTAGAGATTTTGTTTAAGTAATACATAAGCAGTGAAAAAAATTATAATAAAAATAGCGTAATCCGGTCGTGTATAAATATTAATATAACATTGACATGATAATGCGGCAATTTATTTAAATGTTATTAACGCAGACTGGTAGCCGTTTTACGATTAGTCGAAAACGTCCCATAATTTCCCATAAAAATCGTTGAAATAGACATCAAAAAACGCCCATAAACTATCGAACTTATCTAAGAAATGCCCAATCGAATCGGCCGCTACTATTATAACCGTTTCCCTACTAAAAACGTATGCTAATTAGGAGACAGCGTATCCGAGTTCTTTAAGAAAAATTTAAAGGAACGTAATAAAATACAAAGCTACGATTTTTTGTCGACATCCTGTATAAATCTTAATAGTGGGCATTAAACTATTTTACGCCCCGAAAAAAGGGACAATGCAGTCGTTTTAATTATAGGAAGCCTCTTTAGTATAAACAAAAACCGTGGATAATGATGCACTTCCAACACTTTTTGCTCAAATATTTTTGATTCGTTTTTCTCCACCCAGGATACAGCTTGTTGAGAGGATGATGTAAAAAAAATCGAACCTTCACCGGTCGTTAAATCTACAATTAAATGCGAAAAACGTTCGCATATTTACTTTAAACCAATTTCCAAAAACACCCGCAATAAATTCCCATGCTATCATTGCAGATTCCGCCAGCGGTTTCATCGCCTAACGCCGTCAACCTGACAGACCCCGGCGGAGACGCCTGGTCTCTTCTCGACGAGCTCGAATCGCCCCTGCCCCTCGACGCCAGCGAAGGGGGCTTCTTCTCGGGCAACTTCGTGCCGCCCCCGCCGCGCCCCTTGTTCCTCGACGACTCGGCAACGCCGGACGGACCGACCACCTGCGATCTGTGCACTTGGTCCTGGCAGCATCACAGCGGCGGTTACAGCCTGGACATGTCTAAAGGTGAGTCCTGAATATACCCGAATTGTCCTGAAGAGTACGGTGATTCCTGGATAGAGTGTATCTGTTTTAGAACTATCCTGGAATCATTTAGAACTGACTAGGGCCATTTGAAACAGTTCAATAAGATCTTAGAACCATTTAGAACTATCCAAAATCATTCGGAATAGATTCAGGTGTATTTGGAATGGTCCAAGATTAACTAGAAAAATCCAGAACAATTTCGAACGATTTCAAGTCTATTTAGAACATTTAAAAGACCGTATGCCGAAGGAATAGATTAGCAAAGGGGGTTTATGAGCTTCTGACGGATGTTACTATTGTTGGTATTTAAATACAATGCAATGGTATGGGTTTATAGTACTTTCGCATTGGATTATTATTATAATTGCGTGTAATTGAGTACGCAAATTTATGCCAAATGCGTAATGGATTTGGAGGAATTGATAAACGTGTGGTAGTGAAGAGGTGGGGTTTATAGCGTAGGAGTTTTTTTATTATTTTGCCATATTAGGATTGGGAGGGGTCCGATTTTATTCATACCATAAGAGAATGACTTAATGGATTTTCGGTGGAAACGAATATTTCGAGAAAAAAACGTTTTAAATGTGACTTTAATAGGATATCTATACATAAATATCTTTATTGCGTGCTTCACACACATCCACAAACATAAGTAGTTCTAAGTATGCCATAAATTATATTAACAGCGTTATAAATTCCGGTATTTAATAGAATTAACCTTAGAAAGAATATAAGGACTAATCTAAAAAGTAGCAGCATTGTAATATCTTAATGTAGGTGCTTTCGTTTACAAAATCGGTATTCGTGCGATAAGAATCCCATTAAAATCTTTACCTCATCCTAGTGAATTCCGATGGAACTACTGCGGTATGTAAATAAGTTGTTTTTTTATCGCCGACCAAAAACAAATTTCAAACTCTTCGGTCCGTTATTGCCGGATAATTTCCCATCCGACGAAATGAAGTAATTACGGAGTTAACGACGTTAAAGATTTTCGCTCGTCTCTTACTAATGTTATTTTAAATACGAATTGTAATCAACGTGAAATTAAAAGCGCTCAAAACCGAATCGGCGTTAATTCGAACCGTCAAATAAACCGAAAGCTAATTTAAATCCTATTTTAATAATTTAAAAATCGACTAAGAAGATAAAGGCCGTTTCGAAGAAGCGCCATTAAGCGAAATTACGGTCGAAATGGCTCGCTTATAATAATAAAACGAGACTCGATTTCGCTATCGACAAAGTTTCAATTCGTTTATTAACTCGCGTTTAACTATACAATTAAAAAACCCAATAAAACATTCTCGATAATCGCTCAGTGTGGATTACAAATTAGACGAAAACCTTCGAGGAAGAAACCCGTTTCCGCGTAGGAACATCTCAATTCAATCCGCGTATAAATCACTATGTTACACAATCCGTAACGGATACCCGATACACCCGAAATTACCGCGACCCAATAATTCGTCCGCTAATTAGTCGAAAAGCTCCATTAGAAGCGGCGCTTTTGTGTTGTTCCGTTTTTAATGGCGATGGTCCGTTAATTCCTGCCACAGGCCAATCGAGGGATCTATTATTACACTATCGAAATCCATCGATAAATCGGGGAAGAGCAATCATCAAGTCGAATGTTAGATAGAAAATAAAATGTGGTTTGCACCTAAAGATTGCACACAACAATGAACAATTTCGACAAATTAGATTCAAAATTATTCTTAATTTTCGAAAATTTGTAATTTAAAGTAAGTATTGTATTCACAAATTGACTAAAAAACACACTTAATCAAATAACGTATTAAATTAGTAAAAACCCTCTTTAAAAATCATAGAAATTTTGTCAAAAAAAAACTTAATAAAGGTGATGAAATTATATTTTTTAAAGGAAAAAAGAACCTGCTCTAATACAAAAATAATCTCCCGAAACAACAACAACAAAAAATGTGTAAATGCATATTAAGCAACGCTGTAAATAATTACAATCGATCCATTATATCGCTTTAGAAGAGAAACATTGACGTCTCGCCGGCGATAAGTGGAGATGCCGATGTTATCGACATTTTCCCGTTCAAATATTAATCTCCCGTTTTTAAATTTAATAAAGCATTCTCGATTAGAGAGCGATACATCTAGGACGGTAGCCGGTCTAGAATGGTGGCTGCACGCTTTGCGGCGCACGAGATCGCCAGATACAGTCTCAAAAAAAATATTAATGATTTAATAATATGCGGGACGCGCTCATGAAAAAATTCAACTTTATATAAAACGATAGCGAGACGATCGCTAACGCGATGCCCGTTGTTTTTGCGATATGCTAATTTTTTTAGTTTTACTAGACAATATGTCATTATTCATAAAGGAACAAAAGCCTTTAAACGTTTCGCGGAGTTCGTTATCTGGCAGGAGATAAATAATCGGTGGTTCGCGAACAAAGCGATTGGGATTTTTCTGCTTCATCTTCCTCCGTACACCTAACCCTAGCGCTTATATTGTTTAATGAAATTAACAAGTCGCTTATATAGATAAGAAAAATCGAATAAATTACTAGCTGCATAGAAAATTGTAAAAAACACTCTCATTCTAGAGTAACAAGAAAATGATGATAGAAAAGTTATTTTTTTCTAAAATTGTAACACCTCATGTAGCTCGAAAACTAAGAGGTTTATAGGACATACAATGATGAAACTTTTCTTCTTAAAATCATCCAAATATTCACATTCTGAAGTATGGCCCCTCAATTAATTAACACCCTGTATGTAGACAAAAACCGTACTACATCTAGGTAAGTATAACCCCTCTGCCTGTTAACTCGATTATTTCTGCGCATAGGAAATCCGAATAAATTAACTCAATTTATTTATAGAATAAAACGGCTCGTTTGTGATGGCTATATCAAATGCGCAGAGATGCTTTAGGTAAAAAAAAAGTCGGTGCGTGTAATTACAGATTTAAAACAGCCGATGAATTCGATACATAGTAATCTTCTCGTACGAATAGACATGCCGTGAACGTTAAAAAGCTCGCCTTCGAAATAAGAACGAAACCCACGATATAGTTTTCGAGATCGTTATTAATTTTATATCACTCTTGCATTAATTTCGTTTCGTTTCCATTTTGCAGAAGCTCAAGGACTCGGATGGGTGCTCACTCTAGTTATAGTATCATTATCGTCAGCCATTATAGGAGCAATCGTTATGATAATCGTACTGCATTGTAAACGATTGAAATCAACTACCATAGATGGTAAGCAAACATTTTATTTAGAGTAGAGTAGAGTAGAGTATCTACACTACACTACACTACACTACACTATACACTACAAAATACAGGCTGTTCTCGAACTTATGGCACCTAATTCTAGGGGCGGTAGTTCGCATATTTTAAGACCGATTTGCAGAATTCATTGTTCAAAAAAACTTATAATAAACAAAATTCGAAATTTAAAAAATATTTCAAAGAAATGCGGTCCTGTACATCGGTTGAAACCCCTTGACCGCGCGAAAGATCGCGTTCACCATAGGTTAAAATCGACAAAATATTGACTTATGAATTAAAAGGAGATCTTATTCGAATTTTGTTTATTACTTATTTATACCATATGACCTCAAGGTTTTTAAAATCATAGATAAATTATCAAAGTAAACCAGGATTTTCAAACAATAGAAGAAAATAAACTTTAAAATCGAAAGAAAAATTAGCTTACCTATTTTGTTGTTGAAAAATCGTGAAGTTCATAGTGATTGTATTGCCAATTTTGCAATTAATTGTTCCAGAACATCACTAACACCAAGAACTAAAGCAATCAAATAGATCACTAATGTCTAATCACAAAAATCTATTTAACCCCGATGTTATAAACGAAACAATACAATTCGCACTAGAAAATAACCGGCATCGATAACGTTTGTCGAAACCTGGAGGGCTGGGATATTAGAATTTATAGAATATAAAAAATTAATAAAATAACTTTTCTCGTTTGATCTTGACATCTTCTTTCTTGTGAGCTAAAGAGGTCAAATGCACCCCAATTAAAACAAATTTGCAGGTTTCGACCAATCAGGGAACGAATTGGCGACCTTGTCAGGAATTTACTATTATTTACTATATCGTAATACAAATTGTTGTTGTAGGGGTGGAGCTATTTTTTTTTAATAATGAAATGCAAATGGCCGACACTTTAAAAACTTTTAACTTCCGGTTTTTCTACAAATGTGGGCGTGGTTACAAAAAATTTTAAACAAACGTCAATGTCAGTTGTCACTACTGTCATAACGATTCCAATTTGAAATAAATTTAACTAAATTCGAAACATAATATTGTTCATCGATTGTTTATTAACAAAAGACGTTATAAATTTGCTTTTAACCAACAAGTAAGTCAACCAAATCCCTACACTACACTATACTACACTAGTCTACACTACACTAAGTGCAGTGATCACTGAAGCTAGAAGAGTAAGCATGCATTAATTTACAGAAACAGAACGAGGTGTAACATTACAACACCAAAGAGTGAATCAACGGCCTCCAATCAGCACCCCAGACGACAAGAACATAAGCGCAATCACTCCGACCACCTTCCCCAATCTACCAACCATCCAAAACGCCACCAACACCGGAGTGTGGTCCTGGTTATCCCGAAGAAACACCTGCTCAATCGACACCCCCACGGCGTCGCCCGCCGAGAACCACTACACCCACATGGACGACGGTAAGCAAACAACCCGCATTTCAACCCGTTCAAACGTAATCTCCCGTTACCGCGCAGGTTACAACGGCGTCGGGGAGGCCCTGTACGCCGAGCTGGACGCCGACGAGGCCCCGGCCTACCGGAACTCCGGGTACGCGGACGCGGAGGCGCCGGCGTCGAGCGCGCCCAGCAGCGCCTACTACTCGGACCTGTCGACGACGACGGTGCCGGAGCGCGCCTACGAGGTGGTGGGGCTGGCGACGGCGCCGGCGTGGGAGGCGGGCGGCGGCGAGTGGAGGCGGCCGGCGCCGCGGCTGGCGGCGATCAGGGAGAGCGGCGCGGTGCCTTCGGACTACGTTTGACGGACTGAATTCGTTTAGGGATTTAGAGAAAGCGAACGCTTTAGTACAAAACAATGTCGCGTCGACTGTACTAGACTGTTGAATATAGGCAAATGTTCTAACTGTGATGGTATGAATGAGACAAATTTGTATTGTAATCTGTATTTTTTTTTTAGCTTTTTATTAATTATTAACGTTATTTTATTGGTTGATTCAAAGTTTTGTTATGTATTATTGTAGATAATTGAAAAAAATTGTATAGAAGTTGCAGAGGTGGTAAATAGTGCACCGGTATGTATTTATTGCACCCATGTACCTGTATATAAATAAATTCTTTTACAAACCGGTGCAATATAGATGCAAATTATTGCACCCGGTGCACATGCATCCTCTGAAAAATCGCCATGTGACTGTATTTCTTAAAAAAAAGACCTCAATAGGTTTAACATTCCTCTTAATTTATATTTGTGCAAGCGAGTTGCATGAAAATGTACGTTAGAGCGTTTCCACAATCCTGTATAAAAAATGTCAATTAAATCTCGTACGTCTCCGATTAAGATGTACGCCGGTCATGTGATATTTAAATAATGTATTCTATTTTTTTATTTGCATCAAATGCCGTTTAAGATTGTTGTGAATAAAAATATTCTAGTTTAATTCTTCGTCTAGTTTACGCCAGTTCTAAAAATACGCCATTAACGCGCGGGGATTTTTTTCAAATCGAGAATGTTTATTAAAAGACCTCTAATTTTAAATTCGAAGGCTAATTATTAATTCGCTTTAAAACACAAACAATGTACAATAAATCGCATTTAAACACAAGAAAGAACTTTATACACATATAAAACTGGTTCTATATTTAAAAATACATTTAACATTAACTTCTCTCATTAATAACTTCGCAAATAAAAATTAAATTAAATAATCGTTAAATAAAAATCATCCTTTTTTGCACTATACAATAACGTAAAACTCATTACGCGGGTATTATTTTCTCTATTACATAACAAAGCTATTAGAAGAAAAAAAAACATCGTAAATCACAAGAAATATCAAATGGTACCATTGTAGTCTTCCACCGATTTATTTACTTACAGTACGGAAACGTTTAATTAGGAAATCACGCAATTGGTGTCCTTTGCCGGTAACTCGATGTGAGATACATCCTTCTCTATTATCTCGTCGTCTTCGATTCTAGAAATAAAATACACACGTTAATCAATCTGTTATTGTTGGTGCATCGATATTTGTTTTGCACCGACTGTATACAACCATTAGATTCCACTTACGCTTTTTCTTGATTATCTAAATGATGAACCAATTCGTCCCTTTTGTTAACTATCTGTACGAGCTCTTCGAGTAGAATTTGCTCTCTGTTGCGCTGCTCCTCCGTTTTCCTCCAATCCTCCACGGAGGCGATCTCTTGGAGCTCCGCGTTGAGTTTCTTATACCTAGTTTCCAGATCCGCTTCTTTCTCTCTGCGAATCGATGCACGTAAATAAGAAAGTTATGCGAGGTAAGTACAAGGGTAAGGTGAAAAGTTCTCGGCCTGGCAATGAAATAGCGATTTTCAGTTGGAAAATGATTCTGTAGCCTTCTAAGTGGTTCTGTAGCGCTCTAAATGGTTCTAGACAATTCTTAATGATTCTGGAGCGTTCTAGATTTTTCTAAATGATTCAGGCCGATAAGTTTTCACCCTAGCATCGTATGCACTTACAAGATATTAAGTTGCATTTGTCGTCTGAGTAAAGCGTTCTTTTTGTTAACAAACATGAACCATTTCGCCATTAAAGCTTCCTCGACTTCTCCGTTATTCTCGCCAGATTCCATAACGGATCGGAGTTGCTTCTCTAAGATGGCCGCCTGATCGTCGATGGCCCTTTGCTCTCGCTCCAAGTCCTCCATTTCCTTGTCTATCCACGAATGCACGTCGATGCCCATCTACGAATAGACCAAAACGGCGATTAAGTACGAATTTTATTATTTATTTTATTTATTTTAATACTGAAGGGGGTGATTCCTCCTTCACCTCTTCGAAACTCACCTCTTTCAAACCCAATTCGTCCGGCAACCGATCGGGCGTGATTCTCTCCCTGCAATTTTCTATCGGACTAGATTTAATGGAAGATTCTTCGAAATTATTTACACTGGAGTATATGTTGCCGTTTTTCTCTAAACCTACAATCGATATAGCATTAAATTTTAGCCTATAATTTGGTATTTATAAAAAGAAGCATAACCATTTTGCTTCCAAAAAATGAAGGAATTGCTTCAAGGTGTATGCATAAAAAGAAGCGAAGGAAGAGAAGTTTCTAAAGAAAGGTTTTATGGTTTTAAAACTTTTGTTTAAAGTTTTAAAACCTTTTACTCCTACTTTTTGCTTCTACCTTTTACTTAAAAATAAATGATTTATTTTTAAAAATATGGACTATTAAAGCGAAAGTACCTGCGCTTTCTTGGTTCTCGAGGGCCTGCAAATCGTTATCTAACTTCTTCAACTTCTCGTCAGCTTCTATGTATGTTTGAGAACTGATTATGACTTCCGTGTTAGGAGTGGAACCGCGTCTCATGCCTTCGATGAGTTTCTTCGCTCGTTCTCGGAGGATAGCCTGTCGTTCTTCTTCGGACTGTATTAGAAAAATGCATCGTTAAATATACAGGTTGTTAATTAATTGAGTGCCGATACTTCAGGATGATTTTAGGAAGAAAAGTTTATATCAATACGTGTCCTAAACCTCTTAGTTTTCGAGCTAACATAAACTTTTCTTCTTAAAATCATCCTAATATTCACATCCTGAAGTATCGGCACTCGATTACTTAACATCCTGTATAGTGCAAAACGATAATCGTTCGATGGGATTACCTTACTGGGCGAGGTAGGATTCGACCCGTCTTTTTTCACCGAATCGATCAATTGCCGGGCCCTTTCTCTTTGCTCCGAATGTCTGATGAGTATTTGCTAAAGAATCGAATAAAGTGGTTAAGTACCGCTTCGTAAAACACAGTGTTTTTTAATAACATGCTAATACACCCTATATCTCAAAAGTTAAGACGTTTAGGACATGTGAAGTTTTTTTTTAAACGGGCCCAAGAATCACCCTCTTCAGTAATAGCATGATATTAAAAAACACCCTTTATATCGCTTAAAATTACTTACAGGATTCGGTTTGGGTAAATCAGTGAAAACATTCTCATCGTCACCGATATTATCAGCCACATCCGCTTTATTGCTAATATCACCGTTCGTTTCGGCATTTAAATTATTGCATGTACCGGGTTCCTCGTCATCCGAACCGAACGGATCGGTTAATTCCCTCCTCGTCATGAGTACCGCTTTTTTGCCGCTCTCCTGCTTCTTCGCCAACTCCGCCTTCTCTTTATCAGGAGAAGTAATCACCTGCAAACATTAAATCGATACGTGGCCGTTAGTCCGAACGATACAAGGCCCTTCGAGCGCTCCTACTTTAGTGAAGATACTCTTCAGATCCTTCACGAACAGCGGTTGCTTGTCCTTGACGTCTCTAACCGGCTCCGGTTCGTTGGTGATTTTGAGCGGCAACCGGAGCTTCGAGGAATCGGGCTTGGCGTTGGCGTTGTTCAAATCGATCTCCTTCTTGTTCTGCTTGTTCTTGCGCAAGTTCAGTATCTCCTGGCCGAACACCTGCTTGGTGATGTCGGTGTCCTTGTCGGTGTTGAACTTGCCGATGATGTAGTTCGATTCCTCCGAGGTCTTGCCGATCTGGTGCACCTCCAGCTGGTGGCCGGTGAAGTGGGCCCGAAGCTGGTGCAGGTAGGTCATCACCGCCAATTTGTCAGGTACTACGAGTATCGAATGATATAAATATTCGATTAAATTGCGAGTTAGAAATATGTACAGGGGTAAGGTGGAAAGTTGTCGATTTGATAATGAAGGACCAAAACAAGAATTTTAGCTGATTGGAGCGTTCACATTGTACCCTCGTACTTACCAGCTAGCATATGCATATCGGAAGGATCGATAACTCTCGGTATACCGAGCTTATCGCCGGCATCGAACGCTTTTTTACAATTCCCTTTGACATCGTGCGGAGACAACGAATTGAAATCGCTTTAAAGAAAATGCAATTAATAGCCAATGTAATGCGATATATTCTATGAAACTACATACATCAAGTCCGGCTCGAAATGGTGTATCAACGCGCAAAAGGCCAAGCCGTTCCTCCAGCTGGTCGTCAGATTGGTGACCTTCACGCCGGGATAGTTCTTCGTCATGTCCTTGCACCAATCGAGCAAATCCTGGCCGGGCGTGCTCAGTTTCTGCTGGCTCTTCGGCGTTTCGATGTGCTCTTTCAAATCCAATGGAGGCAGACGTACCTCGATTTTCTTCACGGCGACTTCCTTTATTTCGAGTTTATTATTTTCATCGGGCGATTTCACTATATCGCTTTCGTTCTCTTCTACTATGAGTTCTAAGTTGTCGAGAGTTTCCATGCATTGTTCCGAGTAGAAATCGCTATCGGCCACACGAAAATCGCGCTCCGTAGGAGGAGGAGGGACTGATAAGGGAGTCTTTGCGAGCTTGTTATCTTCAGCCGTAGGAGTTTTATCGTCCAAAAGAATACTCGCGACTGAAATAAATTAATGTAATAATTCACAATATAATGGAGAGGAGTACGTGGGAGATATACTCACCACTGATCGGCGTGCTAGCAAAGTCGGATCCCGATAAACTATTAGTCATCAGCTGTAGATTTTGAGCCACTTCTTGCATGCTGTGTTTAACGGCGCTATCGCTTAACGAAAAATCTTCGTCTTCCACGTCTTCTAGCGTAGCGATGTCGTCGCTATTATTATTTACGGACATCAAAGAAGCCATCGATTGCATATCCTCGTCGCTGCAAATACAAATCGATTAAAACGAATCGGATCGATTGAATCGGAACGTACGTCGCTTTTCCTTCTCGAAGGAAGACACACGAAAGGGTGCAATCCAATTTAGCACTGGTGATTTTTTTAGTCGTGGGTTTGAAGTTGATTTGCAGTTCGGTTTGCGTGGATTCCACGCTCGCGTACTTCCGCATATTCACGTGGGCAACGGCCAATTGCCTTCTTTTTCCAACCGGTGGTACCTGATAGAATACTTATTATAGAGAAATTAAATAAATCTTAATGAATAGCTTACATCTTCTATAAAAAACGACCAGTCCTTATCCTCGAGTTCGTTAGTACGGGGGTCTTTAAATAGAGTAACGGCGACTTGGTGGTTTTCGGGAACAGGCCAAACGACTAAACCTTTGTAAGGATTCTGCAACGTTCGCTCCCACATCATCGGTACAGAAGTCACTCGTCTCGACCTCCTCGACCACACCAACAGCAATTTGTGAGGTTCCCTAAAGTGTTAACAATTAACATTTTTTAACGCTGCTAATAGAAACTTACCATTTGGAAGTAAAGTCCACGGATAACTGGTGATAAGAGACGGTGAACTGAAACTTGGCAGCTCGTTTGTTGACTCGCTGGAGTCTCTTCCAAACGGAGCCCATACTGGCCGAGTCCACACCGACACACGACTGCATGTCAATAGTTATCAAAAAACTTGTATTATTGACCAGAGAAACCGCACTACTGAGGCAGGCACAAAGTGTTTATATCAAGAAAAACAAACATGCTGTGTGAAAGAAACAGGATGCAAGTTATCAGTCTTATCAAACATTGTGTGGAACTTGTCATACTATGTTGGTAAAATACAATCCATCTGCAAGCCAATACAAATAAGTTTTAAGGTGCTGCAAGCTGTAATTAGCGAAATCCAAAAAATTAGCTTTAAAAACGTTAACCATCTGACAGTACGAGCATATCAGATAATGTCAATGGATGTTTTTCCAACAGTTAAATCTCGTTAAGCGTAAACGTACCTTGTAAATCTTACAACGTTCAATTATTAAGTACGCATTTTGACACAAATAAACTTGTTTATATTGAAAAAAACCGAACGTTTATTTATAACTTCTGACAACACCAATATACAATGAAAAAACTATTTTTTAATGTCGAAAGGTGATTGGGATTATTGACGTTTGTGACATTTTGTACGTCAAATTCTTCTTTTGTATAGAATATGGCCTTTTTCTCGTACACATCCAGCTCTTTAAATGGAGCTCTCCAAATCTAATTAAATTTTAGGAATATCCATTACTAGATTTAAAAAAATGTATGCACAAATTGTTAGATAAAATAAACGTAGCATTCTTAATATTTATTTCTTCATTTTAGTGAAATACAGCAATATACTTAAAATATAGTAATAAAATTTAAAAACTTGAAAATACACAAAACATCAATTTACAAAGTAAGGGCATAATTATCAATTTTTCCTTGAAATAGCCTAATAAGTAAATTTAATCAACAAATTAAAATTTTAAAAATACTTCACACAATCGAAATAAATCTTTCAGATATTTTCTTAAATTAAACATAGCTATCCTGTTAATAAACTAATTAATAATTATGTCATTACCCTAATAAATCTGACATATCTAAAAAATAACATATAGTCAAAAAAATGCTTACACAGAAAATATAAATCCCAATTCATAATTTTATCTACTGTTCTAAACAGTACTTGTAAAGTTCAGGAAACTTTTCTGCATAAACGCGAGTTTACATAGAAAAATTCTTAGCGAAACTAGCTACATAGTTAAAATTCTTAAAGTAGATCCTTCCTGTGGAAAATCTTACATATATTTATGACATAGAACTACATGGTAACCTGGGCGAACCCATCTGGGTTAAAACGCGATCTAACCATTGCAGGGGACCGTTCAAGTGCAGCTCTATCCAGCAGGGCGTCGACGTCACAGTTTGCCTTCGGTACTCAGCACCCCAGCCCTTGACAAACGACATCCGTATGGTACACATCCTGGTCAATTGGTAGACAGCCTCGAAGCCTTGGCTCACCGACTGCGACAGCAAAGCGGCGAATTCCTGATTGTTGAATATCTTCAAATTACAACCCGGCGGTATTTTGCACACGGTCGCAGGATGCCAACCGTACCGTTGGTTGCAGTTCGGCGATTGTGCGAATATACTCGAATCGCTCAAACATTCAGCGAATACTTCACCACCTGAAATCCAACAAACGATTTATGCGCAAATTCCACACATATTCCGCTCGTATTTACCTATATAATACAATCTCACTCCTTTCCCGATGTGCCGTCTGGTTTGCTCCACCACTGGGTTTCTGTTAACGTTCGACAACAATCCCAAGCAAAATCTCTCCGAGTTACTGGGATCGGTGAAACCGTCCACGGTTATCGAGGGCTGGCTAGCGTGGAACGTCTCCCCTACTCTGGTATTCAGCTCGTAGTAGCTGATGCTGCACCAGAAGGCCGGTTCGCAGTAGAGCACCGGCTGAGCATCCACCGGACTCATCCTGGATATATTCATGTTGTCGTTCAAATCGATGGGATCCCCGTCTTCGGACATGTATCCGGGTGGTGGTGTTTCTGTCGGTGGTACCACGCTGTGCGGAGGAGACTCCATGCCTGATAATAATCAAAATAATATGTAATGTGATTATGGGATTGGTGTGGTTTACGTACCCGTTGTGGTACCGTTAGGGCATATTCCGACAGTTTCCATGTAATTAGACGGGTGCTGCAGTAAGCCTAAAGTGTTGGTGTTGTGATGGGGAAAGGAGGTATTTTCTGGTACTGAGGTGCTCAAATCTTCGAGCGAATGTTGAAACAAGTTGTTTTCGTCATTTAACGAATGCCTGGGCACTAGTATTGCGGGTAATGTGGGTGTTTCGATCCTCGTGTAGTGGTAGGGATTAACGCAGACTTCATCTTTCTTCAAAGCGAATCCGTATTCACAGTGGTCCAAGGAGCGCAACTCGTGCTGGGACTGCAAATCCGGCCATCTCCACAGTCTACAGTAAATAACGTGAGGTAGTCCCTTCCTTTGCTGTTGGATGTTGCCGATGTCGGCGTTCGGCCGGGCCCTGGCTATTGTAACGCACTTAGTGTTGTGGTTCTGCGATGAAATGGCGCGCTCCAATTCCTCCAATGCACCGGACTTTTTCAATTTGTTCACTAAACTCTTCACTGCCTTTTCGCACCATTTGTCGTCGGCGTCAGTTCCCTTTTTCCAACCTAGCAACCGTTTAACCACCGGCGGAGTAAAACTAGGTAGCATGCCGTTCATAACAACACTTCATTAATAACTCTACAGCGAAACTTAATTCATCGGCTGCATTAACGATGATATAAATTATAATTTTTTCAACAATGACAAAAACACTACTGGGGGACCGAGGGCCCCATACACACTAGCGACATCTACGCTATCTTTCGACATATTGGCCGATTTATATCGTTTATATTGCGTCTTATAAGCTAAAATCGATGAATTATTTGTTTTTATTGAATACCGAATAGTATACTAATAATTCACAAGGGATTTCTAAATATTTATACCGTAAATTATAATAATAACAAGGCTTGAAAAAAATTCTACTGTGGCGCCATCTTTACACAAATTTAATAAATCGAAAAAAAATCAATGTATTTTTTAATATTCATTACTTTGATTACTTTCACTTATACATTTAACAACATCTAGCCCATTTTACTATAAAGTTATTTATATTACATAATGTAACCAGAAATATTGCAAATAAACAATATTAATACTTTTGGTTAGGCAACTACTTTTACAACCTCACCTTCTACTCATTACATACAAGACCACAATCTTTAAGAAAGAAACGAATTGACATTGACAGTTAGAACACAATTATAGGTTATATTATGATATTTCGTTATTTATACGTTCATAATTAAACAACAATTTATTGAATTAAACACGAATGGGTAACGATAAAAAACGCAGGTCTCGCAGCCGCGAGCGCGAGAAGGACCGAGAACGCGATAAGGAACGAGAAAAGGACAGGAGGAAGAGATCCCGTTCTCGGAGTCGAGAGCGTGAGTTACGCGAATTGCGCGAGAAAGAAAGGAATCTGGACAGGCACAAGAGGCGACGATCCCGTTCCCGAGACAAGGATTACCCCGCCGGTAAATACCGCAACGAGAAATACGACGAAAAAGATAAAAAACACAAAGACGTAGCTAAAAAGGATGAATTAGAAGAAGACGAGACTAAAGTTAAAGCGGATATTAAGGAGGATATTAAGCTCAAACAAGAGTTAGTTAAAAAAGAGCCTTTATCATTGGAAGAACTATTAGCTAAGAAGAAAGCCGAGGAAGCCGCTAAGAGTAAACCCGTGTTTCTTACGAAAGAACAACGGGCAGCGGAAGCTTTGAAGCGCCGTCGCGAAGAAGTCGATTCGAAGCGAAAGCAGCAAGAGGAAGAACGCAAAATCATTCAAAGTTTGCAGCACACCAGAGAAACGGAACAGAAAAAAGACGATCGAGATCACAGGAGGCCCAGAGACAGAGAACGAGAAGAGGAGAAAGAAAAAGACCGCGACAAGGAAAAGGAGCAAGACGCTATAAAAGAACGATATCTGGGACTCATCAAGAAAAAGAGACGCGTTCGTAGATTAAACGATAGGAAATTCGTCTTCGATTGGGATGCCGGCGAAGACACTTCTTTGGATTACAACAATTTGTACAAGGACAGACATCAAGTAAGCTTTGTATGTAATTATTCTCGTGTATACGAATTTATTTATTTTGCAGGTACAATTTTTCGGAAGAGGTAACTTAGCTGGTATAGACATAAAAGCTCAAAAACGGGACCAAAGTAAATTCTACGGTGAATTGCTAGAGAAACGGAGAACCGAAGCGGAAAAGGCCCAAGAGAAGGTGCGTTTGAAGAAAATGCGGAGGCGCGAAGAGAAGCAACTTTGGGACGATCGACATTGGACTGAAAAAGATTTACCGGAAATGACCGAAAGAGACTGGCGTATCTTCAGAGAAGATTACAATATTACCATCAAAGGTAAATTGAGTTGCTTTCGGAATTTAACTTCTTCAATTTATAACTTCTTATAACACGTTAATTTGCTAGGTGGTAAAATACCGGAACCGATCAGAAACTGGAAGGAATCCGGCATACAAAAGGAGCTGATCGAAATCATCGATAAAATCGGATACAAAGATCCCACGCCCATTCAACGACAAGCCATCACCATCGGCATGCAGAACAGAGATATCATAGGCGTTGCGGAAACTGGTTCTGGAAAGACCTTGGCTTTCCTCATACCGCTGCTATCCTGGATACAAAGTTTACCGAAAATCGAGAGAAACGAAGACGTAGATCAAGGCCCGTACGCCATCATTTTGGCGCCCACTCGTGAATTGGCCCAGCAAATCGAAGAAGAAACCGTTAAGTTCGGTACACCTTTGGGTATCAGAACCGTGGTGGTCGTGGGCGGTCTCAGCAGAGAAGAACAAGGATTCAGGTACCTAATCTACTTAGGAATTCTAAGCATATTTGTAACATGTACGTTTTTATTTTAGATTACGAATGGGATGTGAAATTGTCATAGCCACTCCGGGTCGTCTCATAGATGTGTTAGAAAACCGGTACTTGGTACTCAACCAATGTACTTACATAGTACTGGACGAAGCGGACAGAATGATCGATTTGGGTTTCGAAGCGGACGTACAAAAAATCCTGGATTTCATGCCAGTCACCAATCTTAAACCGGATTCCGAGGAAGCTGAAGACAGCAAGTAAGTTCACCATTAACACAAGTTTAACAAATAAATTGTATTTTTTCTCTTTAGATTGCTCTTGGCTAATTACAACAGTAAGAAAAAGTACAGGCAAACCGTGATGTTCACGGCTACTATGCCTCCGGCCGTGGAGCGTCTAGCCAGGACATATTTGCGAAGACCGGCCGTTGTTTACATCGGTTCCATCGGTAAACCGGTCGAAAGAGTGGAACAAATCGTGCATCTTATGGGAGAAAACGACAAACGAAAGAAACTCATCGAATACCTATCGAGAGGCATCGAACCGCCCGTTATCATATTCGTCAACCAGAAGAAGGGAGCCGACGTGCTGGCTAAAGGTCTGGAGAAACTGGGCTACAATGCTTGCACATTGCACGGAGGTAAAGGCCAGGAACAGAGAGAATACGCGCTGGCAAGTCTCAAGTCCGGTGCTAAGGATATACTCGTGGCTACGGACGTAGCCGGTCGAGGTATTGACATCAAAGACGTGTCTATGGTTATCAACTACGATATGGCGAAAACTATCGAAGGTAATGTAAAGGTCTACGCGAATTGCGTTGTGAATACTAATAGGATGTTTTTGATTTTTAGATTATACACATCGTATCGGTCGAACGGGTCGTGCTGGTAAAACAGGTATCGCTGTGAGTTTCTGCACCAACGACGACTCGGCGCTTTTCTTCGATTTGAAGCAGATGCTTCTGTCATCGCCCGTTTCTAATTGCCCGCCGGAGCTGATGAACCATCCGGAATGCCAGGCCAAGCCCAATCAGCCCAAGAGAAGACGGGACGAGATGATTTTTGCCTAAATATTACATGTTTTTTTAGTGGCATTAAAAATTAATTTTCCTTATAATTACCGTTCCATTTACAAACAAACTACGGGTAAATTAAACGCGTCGCTTATTGAGAAATGTACAAACTTAAATTACAATGTAATTAAATGAGAGTAAGTCTATAAAAAAATACAATTAGAAAGGTAATTAGTGGTCCTCATGCGTTGGTAGAAGTGGCCAGAGGATTCCTGACGACTAAAATAACGGCGTCTCCTCGCAGGAACATCTTCGAGATGAACCGATCTTTGTTAACTGGCTTGGCTTTCTTGCGGCCCTTACCGGGTCTGGGTAATTCGGTCCACATTTCCTTCACGTTCTCCAGCACCATGTTGCAATGTCTGTCGAAGGCTTTCACTCTGCCCAGGAGTTTTTTGTTGTTCCTGCAGTTTATCAGCACCTGCGTGTTGTTTTTCACCGATTGCGTGAGAACGGACAAGGGGCCGGTGTTGAATTCCTCCTCTTCGCGGGCCTGCAGCTCTTCCGCTGTCATTTCCGATTTCGGTTTCGTTAGAGCCATTTTCTGGTTTTAGAATATTACAGGAATTGGCAATAAATGAACGGTTTTTTGTATAATTATCAATTGGAAATGTTGGTTTTTAGGTTAGAACGTTGCGCGTCGTTCTGTTATATTGGTATGAAGTTAGGCACTTATCTGTTGTTGACATTTGGTGGCCTCTGTTTTGATAGATTTACAGCCATTAGACTTTTATACGATACAACATACAATCACACTAAACTTCGTATTATAGACATAAAAGCCATAGAGAAAGATTTTTATTGGATTTTAAAGATTTATTTTATTTTTATTTTATATTCTCCTTGCCTAATATCCGAAATTAATCAATGGAGATCTACGAAATCGCGCTCCTGTTCGATTATAAATACGTACAAAGGCAACCAGTTAATCAAATTTCGGTAATTCTGGTTGCCTATCTATTGTATTAGTAAAGCGCGAGTAATAAGTATCAGGAGTAAACCTCTTCATACATTCTGCTCTCCTAATACGAAATTTCAAATTCACGTTTTATTTCGAGATTTGAGCACAAGTTTTCGTCGATCTCCATTGATAAATTTCGGATATTAGGCAATGAGAATATGCAAGGAAGGTTCAATATCGGGAGATATTTAGAATATCGAGAGAGATACGTCAAGGGAAGGTCCTGGATGAATCCTGATGCGTTAATAAATATTCTAAATGTTTCGTCGTTCTTAAAAACACATTTTCAAAGATAATTTAACATTTTGGGCATTATTAATAATTCTTTATTACAAAAATGATACAAAAATAGAATATTAAAAAATTTTTATGACATCCTTAATCCTGATTTTAGAATTCTTAGTATTTTTCGTTCATTAAAAAAATACAAAACTTTTTCAACGCAATTTGTAAAAATCTGGAGCTATTAAAGCAAAAAGATCGGGAGAAACAATTATTAGGAGTTCTAGTAGTTTGTGTCAAACGTATGAAAATCTCACGATAAAACGTGAATTTAAAAATTCGTATTAGGAGAGCAGAATGTGTGAAGAGGTTTACTCCTGATACTTATTACTCGCGCTTTACTAATACAATAGATAGGCAACCAGAATTACCGAAATTCGATTAAATGGTTGCCTTTGTATGTATTGCTTCGAGCAGGAGCGCGATTAATAAGCGTCATAAGTAAACCTCCTCGCACATTCTGTTCTCCTAATACGAAATTTTAAATTCACGTTTTAATTCGAGATTTGAGCACAAGTTTTCGTCGATCTCCGTTGATAAATTTCGGATATTAGGCAAGGAGAATATGCAAGGAAGTCTAGTAACAGGAGATATTTATTATATGGAGAGAGGTACTTCTGGGGAAAGTCCTGGATGAATCCTGATGCATTAATAAAGATTAATAAAGATCATTTTGGGCATTATTATTAATACTTTATAGCAGAAATGATAAGAAAGTAAAATGTTAAAAGTTTTGTAGTTTATTGTCAAAAAAAACCGCAACTTTTTCAACGCAATTTGTAAAAATCGGAAGAAAAATTTTGTCGATCATTCTAAAATTTCACGTTAAATATTTGCGAATTAGAAATTTCGTATTAGGAGAACATCTCCGTGAGGAGGTTTACTCCTGATACTTAATACTCGCGCCTTACTAATACAATAGTTAGACAACCAGAATTACATTTATCGATGGAAAATCGATATATGGACACTAGTAGGTAGGCAACCAGTATTTCGTTCATTAAAAACTTATAAATGCATAATCGTTGTCAATTTTTTAGAAATCTCGAAACCAAATGCCTTAATAGGTCTATGATAAAGATAAACTTTTTGGGAGTTTTGTAACAGTAATAATGCGGAGTTATAATGATTTTTTATTATTATTCATAAATTTTAACAATATTTGGTAATGGATAAATATACATACAAGATAATATTGACTGAAAATTTCAACGGTTTAAAAAAATAAAAAAAAATAAGATTATCGAATCGGTGGATTCAACGATCTCGAAATACACAGTTCCTGCAGTACGTATATACAACAAAATAATTAAACGTTCAAATCTGTACACTTGCTACCTAAAAACGAGAAGCTTCCAAAAGAATTTATTTATCACTAACTAGTACTAAAAACGTTCGATTAAATTTAATCGTTCGTTACAGAAATGAACGTTTAAAAACACCGCTGAGACAAACCAATCAAAAACAGCATGTACGACATTTATTAGAGAAAAATTACCGAGAGCGATCCATACGTAACAACATTTAGAATTCAAGTAATTCCTAAATATTAATATCGTTCAAGCGGATCGATCCGAATTAGTAAATTCGTCGCGTTACGGATGCAATAACGGCGAATTCGTAAATATTAAAAGGCACTTTTTACAATTATTACATATTGGCAAATATGGAAGGTATTAGTTCCCAGTCCACGATTCCTATTTACAAAATACTTAAATATTATAATAGTATTACCTATAATGATGGAAGAAAAATATTCCCTTTCATAACGAATGATTGTGATGCGGATTCCATTTTCGATTCGTAAATAACAATAAATAAAAGAAACGTGTGTCAACGTTTTTCATCTATAACATTAAACTTTTAATACCCTATTTGTCCGATTTATTTACTTTTGTTTTCAATTTGCAAGGTCTAGTTTTCACCAGATGGAAACCGCGGTCGTATATAACAGGCCGGGAAACTCCTGTGGAGGGGGTGTTGGGATTTTTATTTAATTTACAACAAGTTTTCAATGAACTCTTCCGCAATACCCCCACTACCACCGAGTTTCCAGACCTGTATATGTAAGACCGCGATGAAAACTATGCCTTCCTCGCAGAAACAAACCGAATAATAAAACAAACACGAAATATTAATACGTAGAAAAAAATAAAGTTAATTCGTAACAAATATGGACAAATACAAAAAAAAACTTATTAGTAAAAAAATGTACAAACATCGTTTAACGAATTGAACAATTTACAATAAAAACTTTGGTTGATCACTTGGACTAGTAAATTATATTATTTTTTTTTTGTTAAAAAAATAAAACTATTTACAACTTGCGCGTAAAATATACGCAAATAACTGTACATTATTCTAAACGAAACTTCAATAAGAGTTATTAATGCGTTCCTGTAATGGAGATTACGGAGAAACTTCCATTTTGTTTTACTCGAAAACGGGCTTCTATTGACTTATTTCATTAAGTTTAGGTTTAAATTGGCAACTAAGTAATTGTAGAAAATTTCGAGTACCAAAAAAACAAATATCACAGCAACTTACAGGTTTTCATAGCACATGCAAGGATTCCCCTAATTTGCCACCCAAAAGAACAAACAACTCAACGTCTCAATTAAAACTTCTCGCGTTAAAATCGATTATAATTATGTAGCTACATTGAAGGAAATCAATTTGGAGCAAAACGAATCACATAATCATTAAATCAACAATTTTTTTGGCGTTTTGCTCTATCGTACATTTTGATATATCGTTATTGTTATTAGTCGTTAATTTTTTGATTGAGTAACTTCAGCTATCGATCGATTAAAATAATGACGTACGATTTTACTATCAACTACGATAATCAGTCTATTTTCCTTCGAGAAAAATTCGACCCTGAAAAGTCATTGTACAAGTCGAAACGTGCATCGGAAATTGGCTCGAACGTTGAGATCAATTTTATTCATCAGTAATCCAAATAATCGAATTTTCCGACGCACTTAACACATCCCAAGACGAACGCAAATTACTCGAGTAATTCGAGCTCGTCCCGCGGCAACTTTCTACACACTATTGCAATGATATAAATTTCCAAAATCACATGTATTATTGAGTATTAGTCGACGAAAAGTAAACGAAACAAAAACAACAACAGTCTAGCATTATGTACAAAGTCCACCGACGCCTTACAAAACGTACAAAACCTCCGCCTCGTCTCACACGAGATGCCCCTCCTGCTCGTTCACCCCGTACCCGTTGCCGAAGCTCGTCAGCTCGCGCTTCTGCGCCAGGTTCTGCGCCTGCAGGATCTGATTGGTCTGGCTCGTGTTGTGCAGCACGTCCGGCGGCGGGACGCCGCGCCCGAGCCGCGCCAGCGACCCGTTCGCCGGCAGCGGCGGCGTCATCGGCACGTGCGCGTGCGTCAGGTGCGGGTGCATCGGCACCGGCGGCGGCGTCTGGAAGTCCAACGGCGGCGGGTACGACAGGTACCGGTCCGACATGTTGTAGTACGAACCGTCGGCGGGCGGCGCCGGCGACGGCGCGCTCACGTACGACGATTTTCCTGCGACAAATCAACCAATTCAGAACCACTTTTGAACCACTAGCGAGCTCAACTGCTCGTGTTAAAGACTCATCGAGTTATTCATTACTACAGATGGAGTATTAAAGAGTATACTGTGTACTGGAGAATGATTTAAAATGCAATGGTTCACCAGTTCCAGTACACAGCGAGGACATTTAGCAACGGTTAATAAACGGTTAGTTACCTGACATGCCGCCGTGGTAGCCGAGACTCTGGTCATCTCTGGCCCTCGGCCTCTGGTCGTGGGCGAGGTGGTGGTGATGGTGATGGGGATGGGGCAAGGTGTGGGTCTTGTGGGCCATGCTGACGCCCGTCTGGCCGGGCATTTGCATTTCGTACGCTTGATACGCACCTGGGTAGTCGGGCTGGTGTTCGATCAGATAGGAATTGCTGGTGGGTTTGCGGCTGTCGTCCTGTTCGGGGTAAATCGGAGCGTTATTTAGACGGTTTGCGGTTGTTGCGGTTGATTTACTTACCATGTATTCGTTGTTTCCTTCTTCGTTGCTGTAGGTTTCGCTTTTTTCGCTAACGGAAGAGAGGGTTTCTCCTGTTACCGTGTCGTTGTAGCTGCTGGGAGCGTACATTTCTATCGTCGCCGATTTGCTGGTTTGGTTATTTTGATCTAAAAATAAACCCACAATTCTCAATAACCGATCGATTATGCTTGCTAAAAATAAAAAAAAAAACGAAAAATAAAAACACACCTCTAATACGTTTAGCCCTCCTTTTCAACATGCATCCCGTCACTAAAACGATATTTATAAACAAAAGTATAACTCCTATCACCGATACGCTAATGATCACGATGCGGGGCAGATCCTGTTTTTCGAGCAAGTCCTCGGGCACGATTTTCTCGACGGCGTCTTCGACGAATGCTTATACATAGAAGAGAAAAAAAAAGAAAAATAGATTAATTACCTGTCAGACGTTTTTTCGATCTCCTGTGCAGGCAACAACCGATCAACAGGATGTTCATTAATATCAGTAAAATACCGACGATCGTGCCGAGTATTATGAGAAAGCCGGGGAAGCTCCTGATGTTTTTCTCGTCGAGACTAGACGAGGTGTAAGACGGCGGAATCTCGTCTTTACGCGTAATTAATTTACAGATTAAGCAAGCGTGAAATCCAATAGTTTTACGTTAGTTATTAATATTAAATCAACGAAAAACAACCACTCACCCGACGTCTTAGCAGACAACAAATCCGGCATGAACTTGCTGTTGCCCAGCTTATTGGCCGCCATAATGGAAAACACGTACTGCGTGTTCACCTCCAAGTCCTTCACCGTGTACGCGGTGACGTTGCCGCCGACGACGTCCTCGTACTTGTAGCCCTCGTCGTCGATTTTCCTGTAGCGGATGCGGAAGGAGGCCTTCATGCCGCCGTCGAAGCCCGGCGTCCAGCCCAGCGTCGCCGAGTCGTGGGTGACGTTGAGCACCGTGAGGAGAGTGGGCGTATCGGGCGCCGAGGTGACCTCCAGCCGAGGGGACTTGGTCGCGAAGCCCAGCTCGTTCCTGGCCACGCACTCGTAGTTGCCGTAATCCGACGAGGTGATGTGCGTTATGTACAAGGTGGATTCGGATACCAGCTGGTCGATCTGCGGGAGAAACGAGAATTAGTTTCGAAAGTGGTCGAGAACCGGTGTAGCTGTAGATGTTGTGAGGTTGTTGGTAGCATCTTACTTGTTGATAGGTGGTGTAGTATTTTCCGGTGGTGTTGGAAATGATGGGTGAACCGTTCCTGGCCCAGGTGTACCTAGCCAATGGAGATCCTTGGCTTCTGCAGGTCAATTTTCCCGTATCGCCGGCGTCGCTGGCGAATTTCATGAACTGAGGACGGGCGTCGATTTCTGGTTTATCTACAATTCACATAAATTTAACCAACTGTTACTTAAATTTAATTGCACTTACGTTTGACTATAAGCATGACCTCTCTCGACGAGGAGTTGCCCACGCCGTTGTTCGACAGGCAAACGAAATTGCCCAAGTCCTCTCTGGTCACGCCGGAGATTCGAAGGTAAGAGGTGCCGTTTTTGTCGTACATGACCGACGTACGGGCCGCGAATTCCGGAAAATCGTCCCTCTTCCACGTTATGGTATCGTCGGCCAGCGGATTCCCATCGGCGGTGCAAGACAAAGTCGCGTCCTCCTTCGGATTCACTATCACAGTGCCGCTGGTTTGTACTATCGAAGCTGGATCTACAACACCAACATTTACTCATCATCTACATCTTCGACAATTACCTGGTTTGTCCAGATGCTTCGAGATTTCGATAGAGACTTACATTGCACAGTGACATTAACTACGGCTATTGCGCTGCCTTGGGAATTGACCGCCTCGCAGGTGTAACTTCCCGCGTCGTTTCTGCTCAATTTCGTGATGTTCAACACGGATCCGTCGGAAACGATGCGCTCGATACCATTGGAAGATGATAATTGTGTAATTGGCAAACCATCTTTGGTCCAAGTATACGCGATGTTCTGCGGGTTCCCGTCCGCCTTCAAATTGATCAACAACGGCTCGTTTTCAATACCAGTGATGCTCTCTTCGTTGGTGGAATCGAACACCGGCTTGTCTGCAAAAACCTAGCTACATCGCCGCTCTCGAAGTGCAAAGGAAGTAAAGCTTACATAAAACTTGAAGGGTGATGGCGTCGTGCACGGACCGCTGGAGTATCTCGTTGCTGGCCTGGCACGTGTAGACTAAACCGTTCATCTGCTCGGTGACGTTGATTTTCATTTCGATGGTGGAGATGGCGCCGCCGTGGAGGCCGGGCTTGGTGCTGTTGTTGAGGCCCTGCACCGGGATGCCCTCGCGCCACCACGACAGCTTCGCCGGCGGGTTGCTCGAGCTGGAATCGCAGATGAGCGTCGCCTCCTCGCCGGGCGTCAGCTCCTCCGGCTCCTGGTGGATCTTGACGTGGTCGGGGGGAACTGGAATTCGAAGTGAGTACTTGTCGGATTAGAAATTACAGAAACTTACAGTAGACGCTCATCGTGATGGTTTCGAATAGGGGGATTTCCGTGGCGGAATTGGCGGCTTCGCATCTGTACCGAGCTTCGTTGTCGGTTACGTTGGTTAGTATCGTGATTTCTGCTGTTACAGATTTATCGGTCGTTCTGACTATCGAGTGGATTTTCTTGTCGTTTTTGTACCAAGTGATGGCGGCCAGTGGGTTGCCTCCGGATGATGTGCAAGAGATCTTTTGGAGGGTTCCCGATGGGATGTGGGAACCTTCCGTAAAACCGTGGATGAACGGCTGACTCGGAGGATCTATAATAATCAATTGTTAAGCGTATCAAATAGATGATAGAAGTAAGATTGGACTTACATAAAACGTTGATGGTATGCGTGGAAACAACGTTCTCAGTCAGCTGCATGTTAACCCCATGACAAATAACCACGAGGCTTCTTCGATTGGGCTCCACCACAGCGGTGATGTTCGATGTGGTTATCCAACCGCCTTCAGGCGATACGACGGTGCGCGAGGTGGCGTTGCGAACCTGCCGCCCCGCTACCATCCACTTGATCTCCGCCGGAGGATTCGAATTTGCAGTGGTGCACGTCAACGGCACCGGATCCCCCACTCGGGCTTCAGTCGGCCCGGAGATCGTCACGTGAGCCGGAGAAACTGCGGGATATCAATCACTTGAACCAACTCTAAAGAAACGACGAGTAACTTACACAACACTCGCAGCTCGACTTCGGCTTTCAGCGGAGTCTTCGACATGACGTTGGTGGCCTCGCATTTGTATTTGGCTTTATTGTCGCTGGCGTCCGCTGTGAAGGTGTAGACGTTTTCGGAGAGCCGGCCGGCCGTTCGGTAGGCCATCCGGATTTGCTCGCCGTTTTTGTACCAAATCAGCTGGGCGGGCGGGTTGCCGCCCCGGCACCTGCACACCAACTCCACCGTCTGGCCTCGTCTGATCGTCTCGCCCTCCACGTACCCTTCGATGTACGGCAGAGCTGCGAAGGCAAGAAACGTTGGTACTTTGGTGGTTGTAAATGGTGAGAGTGGGTTACCTGGCGGGTAGAGTACGCTGAGTTGCACGGTGGATCTCATCGGTACGTCTTGGGAGAGGGCTTCGTGGCGAGCTTCGCAAGTGTACTCGGCGAAATCGTCTTCCGCTGTGGGTTTGAGGGTGATTCTCGAGTGGGTGTCGTAGCGGGTTACGCGCTTGTCGCCGTTTTTGCCCGGTACTTCGATCGTTTGGTCTTCTCGGTTTGCTATTTTGTGCAATAATTAATGTGTATTTATCTACTAATTTGATATTATAAAGTGCTATGAGTGCGCAATTGAACTGTAGAGGATCTTGGGATATAAAGATTTAAGGATAGTCTTCCAAAATTTTGCAATTTTTTCACCATGAAGTTTATCTTTATCCTGGATATAGTGAATAATGTACTTACGTATATTGATTTCAACATTGCCTCTGTACCATACGATTTTGGCGGCAGGTTTGGCGTGTTTGACTCTGCATTCCAGATTGAATTCTTGTCGTTCTTTGATTTCGATTTTGGAGTTGTGCGTGTGGTCTAAAATCTCCACGGAAGATGGCGGCGCTGGAAATGGAGAAATCAATTTAAGTTTATAACCGATATGTTTGTAATCGAAAATGGAAGATATTGTATTCCCGTTTTCGGTGTTTTTGTTTTTAATTTTCCGCGTGATTAGCCGTCTAGTTAGAAAGAATAGCCCGAAGTTCGTGCGTCAGTTTCTTTCTATTTACGTCAAGGGGGATTTATTATGCCGGTCGTTCAGAAATTGCTGCTGTCCATTTTTCTAAATGAAAAACAAAAGGAATGTTCTTCTTTGTAGCGCCCTTTTTGTTTTCCTCGAGATTTTAATCTTGTCAAGTCGGCTGTATATTAGCCAAGTTTGGTTTTTTTTACTCTCGCATACACACAATCTTCGCTTACCAGTTCGAAAATTAATTCTTTTTAGCAAAAGTCGCGCAAAAAAACGAGGGAATTCGACGAATCCCCCATCAAGCTATTTGGACGTTAAGCCGTCGAACGTTCGATGGGAACTTGTTAACGCGCCACGGCGAAAAACAAAGTCCGGAAAACTCGCGAGCGAACTATGCAAAACTTTAATTAAAGTTTACAAGGTTCGCTAAAAACGCGACCGAACGAACGAAAACGTCATGCACATTTTTCTCTTATTTTTCCCAACGCCAATGGAAACGGATATTTTCCCGAGTTGAACGTAATTGGGACTACATACAAGAGTATTGATAGTTTATTCGCAATTTTCCCCGACGATTTTTAGCTCGAAAATGAAATAATAATAATATAACAACTGACATGTTTTTTGGAGTTATTCTAATGATTTCATGAGCAGATATATATTTAATCTTTCACAACGTTTGCGCCCTTTAAAACATCCCCTAGTGTTGTCCTAGGGGTAGATATTTCATGGAAACACGGGGTGATGAAAGTGATTAATATTCCGGCAAGTTTCTACCTCCAAATAAACTTACTGAAACAACACAAAATCCCCCTTTTTCACGTACATATCAAATATTATACGGAACGCATGAATATTTATTAAAGTAGCTTCGATTTCGGGAGCGCCGCTCGTAAAGAATGCACCGCCCGATATCCGATTCAAAGGGAATTTATTATTGCGCTTATGGTTTTCGAAACGGGCGCCGGATTCCGCCGTTTTAAGCGAAACTTATGAATTATTTCCGAAGCAATAAAAATACATTCGCGGCGCGATCTATCGAGGAATATCTGCTGGTACCACTACAACGGTTTTTAATACGATATGTAGAGGTATAGAATGGGAAATCTGATCGGCTGGCTCCCCCATTGCGATATCCAATGTCAAGTATTCCAGCGTGAAACTTATACGATTTTAGTGTGCGTGTGTACAAAGTACAGTCGGGTAAATGCATAAACAACGCATTTTGATTTGTGTTGCAGGAGGAAAGGGCGAATTGAAGGGGCTTAATCGAACGACGGAATCGCGTTTAAAACAATCGTAAGTGGTTTATATGTACGTAGAAACTCTCCGGTTCCAAATAAGACCCCGGACGGTATTGTAATGCTCCCTTGTGTCTACTCGAAACCCGTTTTCGGGACGTCTATTGTGTCAGTTTGGGAGTTTGTACTTGTATGTTATGAAATCGCTCGGAATTTCGACAACGGTCTATTAAATCACTTCTAAGAGGATTACGTTCCATAATGTATGCTAGTTTTAAGTCAGAAATTGTTAATAAATACCCCCTTTTTCCTGCGAATCTCCTTATAGTACAGAATAGTGCAGAATACAAAAAGTAAAGGGGAAAGTGTAGAAAATTCATTCATTATACAATACTTATATTGTTGTTGTAAAACAGTTGTTATTCCATATTAAACAACTATCGCAAAATCAGGAATCTTCCAGTAATTTTAGTATTTATTTACACAATGCGGTAAATTGTACAAACTTTTATAAGCGTTTAAACAATTTAGATAAATTTTAGATAAAGCCTAATGGAATTTGAATAATCCATGGTCTATGTAAAGTAATCATTCAGCCGAAATCCGTAAACATCACGGTTTTAATACATCAATTGATATCTATTAGTACAAATTACCTTAATTATCTTTACCTGAAATTTGCATTCGCTGATAAATAATTAACGATTGACTAATATAAGCCTATTTATTCCGATGCGCAAGCCACATAAATTCGACATGTCCGTTTCGACATGTTAATTAAAATAATACCTAAATTATTTTTTAAGTATTCGAATTAAAAATTATTTAATCTCGCTCATTATTTTGAAACTTAAAAGTTATTTATTAGTGTTCTATTGTTAACTCCCTGTATTCGCCACAAAGAATGTTCCATAAGTCTTACCTCCATCATGACTTTTACTGTCTCGACAGTAGAAAAGTAATTTTACTGAAACGTCCCGACCGAAAAAAGGCAGAAAATGCTTGGAATTTCTTATGTTCTTACATTTGATGTATCCAATCTAATGTAGGTCGAAAACAATTAGATTAGAATGGTAAGTTTGCTTTTAGAGCTTTCGCAAAAAAATCAATTCCCCGAATCGGCGTTATTCTATTTATTTAAGCGATATAGAAAATAAATCAGTACGAATGAAATTCGTAGCGCGAATATGTTGAAATTATGAATTTATACCAGACCCGGATTAGGAGATTTATTTATGCGAACATTGCGAAAAGGCTTAAACTGTGATTTATTAATTATGTTTTGCAGGATTTACGGCTAGTCCTCGCAAATTCGATAATTTTTTAAATAATCCTCGACTTTATTTTACGAAATAACTACGCTATTCGAATTGGATAGGTAATTGGATAAAAATTCCTCCACTCGAAGAAATCTTCATTAATTTCGAATCCTTCGGGTCACCTTTTCAATCCAATATTTATCTTACAGACCTCTTTATCCCCATCCACACGTGATGGAACTCTTTAAACACATCTCAGTTTACTTTACCGCTTTCTTCCTGCCGATTTTTATCCAATAAAAAAAAATCAAACCGTTTTATATCGGACGATCCTCGACGGGTGTTGTTTCGTTTGATTAATAGAACTCGATTTCATTATCCCGATCGGCTCTCATATCGCAACAATCGAAGAATTCGCCCGGTCAATGCGACTATAGAAATAGTTCCGCTATTTATTTTCGAAAACGAAAAGCAGCTGCGGTTATTGTCGACGTTATTCCTGATGGGGACTGTGTTATTGAAGTTTATACCGGTTGAAAGGGTGCAACTGACCCGATTTTTCCCTTTATGTCGCCACTTCTCCGACGAATAAAATTCAATTCGAAAAGTTGCAAACACATCCCGCTGTAGTTACTAATTTACGACGAAAAGTCCGGTATAAAAAATATTAGAATTGATGCGGATAATTTGCACCGTTTGCAATAATTTAAAATTGTTGCATTAAAAAGGCAATATTGGATTGGCTCCAATAAAACTTAAAAATGATGTACTAAAAAAGCTTTTTAGACTGCTCCTCCACCAAAAATTAAAACGATGTAGGTAATAAAAAAGCTGCATCAAAATTTTAAAATTGTGGTTTATGTCGAGTGTAGTTTTTTTTAATACAATTTATTCGAATTAGGAACAATATTGACAATCGTGACAAATGAAATCGGTTGATCTAATTAGAGATATTCCGAGTTTTCGCGCACGGGGCGAACTTTAAGTCCCTGGCTCGCCTATTTACTTGCACTTATAATTTAGTTGGAAACGGCAGTAAACTTCTGAAGGATTTTAACTCGGCTAAAAATAAGTTGGCGAAGTAGAGTGTGTCACTTGTGAAGATCAAAAGCAAACTTTACCGGCGCAAAAAAAGCTGGAACGCTCGGCTTGTATACAAGTCGCGAGAGAGAGGGCGAAATCAAAAATTCCCGACGAAGACAAGTCAGCAGTATAGCTGAAATTTAATTTCTGCGAAGCCGAGGATATGTTTTAGTTGTACGTAGTTCCGATACGGAAATTGCTGGATATGCTCGATAAAAAGCGCTTGCACTGGAAGTTAGTTGATTGCATTGCACCGGCAGACGTCAAAAATAAAACGCGGAAACACGGACACTGTTTACACGGGCATCGAGACAAATTGCCGGTAAAAACGAAAAAACGCCCTCCTACCATCGAACCCTTTACTCCCGGCACCGGAGCCAATACATAATTAAGCGAGAGACAACAAAATTTCGTTCGCTGCGATTTTTAATATGCCTAGACCTTCGGGACAAAGTAATTATGGAGTCTTCCACATAGCGACACGCCAGCTCGCTCGACGCACAGACGGAATTAATATTTCACCGTTTCATTTTGCTCTGTTACAATATTCATTCCGTTTCAACGGGGAGAACGGAAGAATGCCCCACTTTAGCGAAGACAGACGGCGAGACAAGCGACGTCTTTTAATCAAACTATCAAAAATCAAAGCGCCTCGACTTATCCTGTATATACGCAAATTTATTACTTTACTCCGCTCTTTAAACCCGATTTCTTTTTGTACATTAACTTACATATTTTGGCGAATGAACCAAGTCAAAAATAAAAATCCACCAGCCATAAAGTCGCCGGTTAATTAGCGATGAATAACCAATAAACTAACAGTGTATATCTAATTAAAGCTAAAAAAATCGTAAATTCTGTTAATTACAGGTATTAGCCCGTCGGCGGTAATAATTGCGAGTAATTATACATGTAATAAAGTCGTAGGTAGTACGTTCTTGAAAACAGTTTGTGCGATAAAACTAGAAATTGTGAATTCCGGAATAGCGCTCTAGCGTATTTATTGTTTAGCTAGGCGAGCGGGAGAGTAAAATAACAAACAGCACGACGGAAAGTTAATTAGACCGCACAATAGCGTCGTCCCTTAGGAAATGGGTTCCGAGTCCGTCGAGAAGAAGCCTCCAAGTATTATTATAGCTCTTATTTACGATTGTTATATATGTTTATACGTGCTTATCGCGCAATCAAATACCGAATAGATTTTAATTTTTAATGCGAATGTAAGAAGAACAAAAAAAAACGTTTGTAGCGATAAAGGAAATATCTGGCAAGAGGCCAATCGTTCCGGGCACGTATATAAGGTCGTCAGTAACGTCACGCCGTCCTCTTTATTAGCCATAACAAGCCGTTTTACCAAACCGAATGCATTCCAGATGCGAACAACAGACTCTCTTCGTTCCGTTTCTCGACTTTTCTATCGGATTTCCATTGAGTTTTCGCCGACGCGAGGAGAAAACTCTCGACGAAATTTATTTAATATCCACGTAGTTGCCACTTTCCACCGTTCGAATTAAATTGATACCCCTATTTCGCGTCGTCCCGAAGAATACCTATTCGTTGATAATGCGGGAATTTATAAACGGCTAATTTACATCGAAAATTTAGTTAAATTCCGCATCTCAATTAGTCAATGGAGTTAACAGACAATGAAAGGAGTGGACATTGTCCTTTAATGGGCCCCTGTCCCTAATATAAGGATAATTGTTAGGATACCGAGCTGATAGTTAGGGAAACAATGCAGCATGTAACACCATTGTTCGGCGAATTTACATATCACAGGTCCGTTAAATTATTTATATCCAACTATTCGTTAAACTGTAATAAATAATTTCAGCGAATGCGGCATCTGCTCCGCTCACCTTAAACATGTAAATATACGTTCGGAAGCGTTGTTGTCTGATTAGGAAAACGTGTGTATCTCATCGTTCTTCGCAGTAACCCCTTGCATATAAATTATTGTATCTTGTTTCGTTTAATGGGAGCCTTCTGTAGCGAAGCGCCGCAGTTTAAATTCGTTTCCTTCATATTAGACGAGATAAGATATGGTGGGAGATTACGGTGCTATTCGAACCGACGAACTCTGCTATGCGAAACACATTAATCGCGCGAGTTTGTTACACTCGTTGGAAATTTCGGCTAAAGAACACCCTCAAAATTGGAATTTTGGTGTAAGAACAGCAGAACGTATTAAAATTTTTGGTGGAGGAACTAGGTCAAAATTGTATTTTAGTGGGTGTAGAAATTTTGGTGTAAGAACAAAGTTGTATTAATATTTTGGTGGATGAACTAGATCAAAATTGTATTAGGAAGATACACACTTATAATTTTGGTGGAAGAGCAAGGTTATATTTGAATTTTTGGCGGATGAGCTTTCACAAAATTATATTAGACAAATTTATAATTAAAATTCCGGCCAAGGAACTAATAGTAGTATAAAAAGTGAGCAGTAAACTTATTTAGTAAGAGGCGAGTTCTAATTAAATCTTCAACTCGTGATAATGAATCGTAAATTCGAGCAGACCGAACTTTAACGACTCGAAGCCCCCTTAATTTTCTTACAAACGGTCCGGGGCGAGTTTAAACCCGTTTAAGAAAATCTCGATAGACGCCCTTACGCCCGTATATGGCGCAAGTTTGCCGGCCAACCGGCGTAGCTCGGGCGCTGTAATAAAGCCCTGAGCTTTTAGTGCTCGCGAGACGTCTGTTCTAGCGATGCCCGACACGTCGCCGATGGCAATTCACTAAATTTAATTTAATGAAAATGAAGGACAACCGAACCGTGGTAGTTACACTAGAATTCCGCCACTATAACTGAGTTGTATAAAGCGAACTCGGCAGTAAAAACAATATTACTCTCTCATAACCTAGCGTTTTGATGCACCATGCAGTTTAATTAAACTACCGGGACTTATGACAGGAATGCAACTTTTTGATATTATGATTAGTACTCATTATACTTTTTCATCAAACGTGAATATGTTTTGGTTCGTGCACAAAAATTTCAATAAAATGTAAATTCCTGACTAGCTTTTTAAAGGTAACCTAATATAAATAGATTAAGTCGAGCACAATAAAGCGCACGAACTAATCACGTCGTATTCCCGTACGGGGACGGCAATTATCCTTCGGCAATAAAAAATGTACGAGGGACGTAAGAGAAAATAAATGTATATACTCACAAATGACGTTGAGTCTGGCGTTGGCCCGGATGGCTTTCTGGAGTCTGGCCGGACCCACCTGACACTGGTACTCGGCGTCGTCCTCGAGGGAGGCGTTGCTCACTTTCAGATTGTAAACGCCGTGTCTTCTGTCTCCTAGCACGGAGTAACGAGGGAAGCCGGGAATCGTCGACGAGAAACCTTTACGGGAAAGTAAATACGTTTCAGATAGTAAAAATAAATTGGATCCATCGATTTTTTCCAACCCCGATCGGCGACGCGAATGTCTTTTTGAGCGCTCGCTAAAAATCCCAACGAAATTTTTACTTATATACAGACTAATTAAGAATCAATTAGTGTAACGTACGACGAGCATAAATCTCGTATTTTACAGTTGATATAATAAAAAACGATCGAATAAATAATAAATAAAACCTGATCTCGAACGGATAAATAAATTATCTCAGTCGAGGTGAACGTATATTAACCGTTACCCAGGAATTTTTTACCATATCATCGATGCAATCGTTCATCCATAACTCGACTTCTTTTTATTACAAAACAACGAATTAATATTCAGCAAATAATTACGCCTATATGCATGAAGTAGAACTGTTACACCTTCGAATCGATTCAGGGCGATCGTTCCGATATAATGCAGGCTTTTCGATTTTTATTCGAAACAACAGCACCGGACTTCGATAGCTCGTTAATTCCCGCCCGTTGTTGTTTCACCGTTTATGAGCATTTCGGGCAATTTACACATCGCCCGAGTTAATCTATTAGGTAATTGTTACGACGGCTAGGAGGACTCCTGCGATTGTTCAGGAATCGTCGCGCAGGAACTAACGGCCATAACCTTAATCTTTAATGGCTCGAGGGTATTCCGCTAAGGTCTCGCCAAATTAATTCTACATTCATTCATGAAGCTACAAACGTATGGCTAGTAGTCGCCCATTAAAAATTAATAGATGCTATTTTTTGCAACAGGAAACTGATTTTTTATTGATATTTCCAGTATTTTAATATAAGTGAAACTTACCGAGTGCAAAGCCGTCCTTGGTCCATTGCACCTGCCCGGCCAAATTGGCGACTTCGCATTCCAAGAGGGCCTCTCCGCCTTCTTGCACCTTCAAGTCTCTGGGCAGCACCCGAAAGTATTGTTGCTGGGCGTGCACGGCGCTCGCCAGCAGGAGCACGATAGCTGCGAATAAAAGGAAACGTTCTAATTATTCCGGCGAATTAAACATTTACATCTTCATTTCGAGCGCGTGCGGGAAAATTTAGTATCGGGCGCGATTTTTATGCGCTCGGCGCATGCAGGTAGTTTGAAATTTAAATTTTCATAGGGCGTCTAGGAGTATAGGAGCGTCGCGACGGCGACCCGTTTGCAGGACGAAAACAGGAGGAAATACGGCGAATGGGAGACAGCGCGAAACTCGCTTGCATAATGTAAGAATGTTATGAGTGCAACACTATACGAGGTGGTAAAAATAACAGTACCATCATAGAGAATTATCTCGCTATAGTTAATTGAGATAGAAATTCTCTGTTTGTTTTATCTTGTAGAAAAAATATTTCTCTACAATTTTTGAAGAATACAAAATTTTCGAAAATCGCTTAATTTTCAAGGAATTCAAAAAACAAGACAACCCTTTACAATTTTAGAAACCTCTACGCCAGCTTGTATGTATTTACGAGTACGCAGAATGTCCATTTAATTTATACGAAAGCCTTCGCGATAAGCATAATAATTTTAAGCGATTCGTTCGAAACGCGCGCAAAAAACCGATCCGGTCGTTCGTGAAAAATGCAATAACGGATAGTTAAATAAATTACGCTAGTCAATTATTTCCAGTATCGGTTTTAATTGGCGGATCAATCGCCTTGTCCACGAGATACTGTTGGATCCGCCGAGTCGAACCGGGTTATTAGACGCTTTTTATTTCGATTTTTTCCCCGCCGCATTTTCCGGCAATCCCAAACGTAACTCAACGGGTTTATCTCGCAATTAATCCTAATAGTTGTCGCTGGATAAGTCTCGGACCCGAAATTATTCAAAACATTGTTAGTAGCATAACTGCTATTTTCTAATCTCTTTTCTACTCTCATCTATTCTCTTCGACTCTTCTACTCTATGAATAAAATATGTGTAAATTGTGGGGTGCATTTCGAACAAAGGTAGCGCTCTCCGAATTTCATTGGAGGAAAAAATACAGTTTTCTAAGTTGAAACTTACGCCATGATTTCTTAGTGGGACTATAAAAACCAAAAATTGCAGCTTACGGAAGACGAATGCCGTCGTTTTCTCTAATTTACTGCATAAAAGTACAACCGTTCTGACGGTATAAATCAAATTTAAGCACCAACAATCCATTCATATTATTCGGTAAAACTTAAAGGCGAAAATAATTCCCCGAATTTTAGTTGTAGAAATACGTTTTATTCGCGAAGAACTTTTCCGAATTCACTCCGGTTTTTTAATGAATATCCATCCAGTCATTAATTACGGGATTTTGACTAAATTGCGTCAAAGCAAACACGCGAAAGTACGGAAAAAACGCGTTAAAAGGTAGGTTTATTTTTTTCGGAAAAGCGTCCGTAATCCTTTTTTTGACGCTGCATTGCAGACAGGACAAACAAAAGGGTCAAATGGATGACAAAGCAGCGGAGGAGGAAGAATGGTAGCGAAATGTTAGTTTTATTTCGAGAATTGATTTTAACAATGCCACGTTTAATGGTTTTATTGTCTTGCCCGGCAACGCGTTTTACAACAATGTAATGACTCACGACTTACTTCCACAAATTCATCCCCGAGAACGCCGTCGAAATATATTCATTCGTCGAAATAAAAAATACGCTGAGCACCGGAGAGAGGTATTGTGGCGGTTTTAAACGGAAATAAAGTGGGTCCATTTCGCCCGACAACAGGAATTATAAATTAAAGGAAAATAACTCCGGCATGCCGGAGTTTAGAGTTTATGCGGCCGGGTCTTATTGTGTGCTTGACCGACGAAAAATGCTACAGAACGGGGGATTTCCCTTTGAAATCCCCGTCGCCTTTTCAGCAATTCGAGCTGACGGAGTCGTATACACTTTCGTTTTATTTATTTTTTTATTGCAGAAACATTTTTCCAACATGCCTAACGGTTTAATTTAAATCCGTTAAAATACTGTATGAGATTGTAAAAGGTTATACAAGATTATAGTACCTACCAAAAATCAATTTACCAATTTTCCTTGCATATTTTACCTTGTTTTATTAATGCATTATAGAGAAATACTTAAGATCCTTCTTGAAGAAAAATAATTAAGGGTAAGTAGCAATTAGGTGTATCAGATTTAATCGAGTTTTGAAACTTTTAATCCGAATTTGCATTATCGCTTATACGCTTTAGTGTTGAACAGGTGTTCTGCATTGCGCCATTACGTAGCATTCCCGTTTTTCTTTTCGCATGTTAAAACTGAAATTAGAATATTGTATTCGCATGAAGTAATTTTCCCTGTTCGAATTCATGTTTTCCGTTTCCGTTTTATTTTTTCTCTCGCGGGCCAGTTTTCTTTTCTACCTAGTTCGGATTAAATGCAAATATACATGTGCATATTGCTTGTATACATTGCAAGATTTTTACAAGTAAATTTGATAAATTAGAATACATAGTTTACTTACTAAATTAGTCTATTCAGATGAAAATAGTCCTCTAGATTCGTTCTAGTAATTCTGGACTTTCCTAGCTTATCCAGGATCGTTCCAAATTAGTTATGAATCTAAAACGATTTTGTGTGGTCCTAAGATCGTACTGAACTAGTCCTGGCTAGTCCTAAAATGGTTCCAAACGATTCTACACATTCTAAATAATTTTAAACAGGTTCTAAAGGATTCTAAAGCTATCCTGAACAATACCCTGTGTATATAGTATACCTAGCTGTTATCGTTTTATTTTATTAGGCCTCTTTCACCGGGGCGGAATAATCGCCGAGTTTTTCGCAAAGAAAACTAGATGATGGTACGGAATGAGAGCCATTTCACTCCATAAACTATGCCTGATTAAAAATAATAAAAGAGAATTTCACGTCGGAAAGTTACATTCCGGCAGGAATTACCAGCAGTTGCGGGTGTAATAGAAGAAAATAATTTGTAAAATTAAGCGACCATTAAATTCAATTAGCCGAATCCCTTTAACGTCGCAGCCGAGAGTTAAACCAAAGGAAAATGCCCGCGAGCCGTCAAATTAGGCATTATTTTTTCGTAATAATTGCCGTCGACTCGCTTTCGGAACATGACTAATGGAACGGCATTGTCTCGACATTTTTTTTTTTCGGACGTTATTATCACGTTCCCTTCCATTTCTTCCTTCATCGCTTTGCCTTATCACTCTCAATTTTAATGGAAAACGAGATCTTACGATGTCATAATTTATCTATACCGGGCCGATCCTCGGAAAAGTGGACATAGGATAGGTTTAAAACCATTTAGAACTGTCCAAAATCATTGAGAACCATTTCACAACTCACCAGGATCCTCAGAAACAGTTCAGGACGATCTTAGAACCATTTAGAACGCTTTTCATCATCTGAATAATAGATTAATTCAGTAAACTAAAAAACACTTTTCCCTTCAGGAATGCATATTTTAATGTCTATTATTTTTTCGAATTTAATGACAAAAAAAAACAATTTTACAGAGACACTGAACTAATTTTACCATCGTTAAGCCAGCTATTAGTCGAAGGAGTTCTCTCTGAATTAACATTTTTTTTATTTCTCTTAACTCCTATAAGAACACGGACCGGTTTCTATGGATAGGTAATTATATTAAGTAAACAGGGGCGTACTGGGCATGCGAATGGAATCAAAGGATATTTGCCTAATTATTTCGAGTAAGTTATTTAAATTGCCGCCAATTAAACGTTTGACTCTACGAACCCGAATGAATCACGATTAAGTATTTACTGGTCCAAAGGCGCATTGAATTAATACACGCACTTAAGAGGTTAATGAGGATTTCTTTTGAATTCAATTTGCTTATTATGTATACGTAGGTGTTGCGTATGAAAATGTTGTTTTCGGGTAAACACATTCCGTCTTGTTGAAGAAATGAATTATAGCGTCCCCTTTGCCCGAAAACGAGTTGGTAAATTAAATAACTGTCCATTAAAACCGTAAATACGCCGGGGGTAACTTATTTACGAATACAAAACGGGATTAAAGTAGGGAGATACGCTTTTACCTTCGGTAGACGAAACTGATGAGCGCATTTCGGTATATATAGGTCTCGTGAAATATTCCCTCGGCGTGTCTCAAGCAAATGCAAACGTACGAGCAGATTAAATTTCAAGGACTAGGTGTTTTCTCTTTGTTTATAGTACCGGGAACTCGGGGAGAATTAAGCAATTTAGCCCCACATCGTAACTAATTATAAGCTACGACCCTTCGCCTACGCTCTACTTACCTAAGAAACCACAGACGTGTACTTACCTTACCTATATAACCGTCTAGCCTGCAACTCCGGTTTCGCAAATAGAGTGTCTTGTTACTCGTTATACAAAGGACCCGAAAAATCGAACGGCTCAAAGTAAAATCGGCGACTCAAAGTCAAATTATTACCTCTCATTTTCATCCTCAATTTCCCTAACAACAATATTATCTCGATAATGAATTTAATATAGGTTGCTTCATTATAAATTTCATCAACTCTCTCATTTGTACGAATCAATTAAATATGTCACGAAACTTTAGCACTGTAATTAATTTTTGAAACTTTTAGTTAATTTTACAGTAGCGGTTTTGATACGATGTATTATATTTTCATGAGATTAAAGATTTATCAAGGTATAATTTTATAATTTTATCGCAGTGAAACGACACGTTTAAACATCTTCAAATAAACGCGCTCAAAAGAGCTGGTTGAACGCTGATAAGTCTGGGTTTTATTACGCCTACATTGTGTTCGTTTGATATTACAATCAGGGGCGTAGATTGTTTCCGATACGGTTCTGCCCCGAAATCCGCATCTTCCACGTTCGCATAATTCGCTCTCGTTTTTTTTTATTACATTAGCATCGCATTCGCATTTGCTATAAATTTCTAGATAATCCCGACTAATGAACTTCTGTTTGCCATACGAGATAGTTGTAATGGATACATCTCTGCCTTTTCTCTATATAAAATCGCGCACGGTGCGCCGAATCGCCCGTCCAAGGGGACGAAATTCGATTCTAATAGATAATGAGTTGTAAAATTCGGTGCGTGCACCGCTGGAGGATTTGTGAGATTATTAAAAAAACATGGACGCACGAGAAACGAGTCGTAAGTTGCTCGAGATACCTTCAATACAGTGGAAACCTGTTATTATCCGGAACGCTAAGTAGCTCGAATCCTCGGATCCTCTGATTCGAGATATTGCTGTTATCTTCGCTCGACATCTCTTACAAAAACGGTTTAATAAAAATCCTAATATACATTTGCTTCGTGTCATTATTAAATTCTAATGTTACCCTATAAAGGGATTCTTTCGCGCGAAGTGCGATGGTAAAATTCTTGTACGTATTTAGTATTAAAACGCGATAATATTACGCAATACAATTCGAAATATATTGTGGGAAGTCGTTGAATAAAATATCAATCAAAACGAAGAAAACCGAAACTCTCGCAATAGCAATAAATTGCTCTCGAAGAAATGCCATATGGTTTTTATACCTATATGGAGGAAGAAACCGAAAATTACGTTAATGAAAACGGGTAGGTCGAAATTGTCAAACTTGTTTTCGTAGGTGTAAGTCCAACCTACCAGTTTAAATGAATGAAATACGATTTTTTCCTAAAGCGACGTTTCTTTATGGCACACATTCGGCTCGAATATGGCACCGAGAATCGTGCCTACCTACGCTCCAAACAAAACGGAATTTAGGCAATAGGCGCTACAGAATAATTACCAAACAACAAAAAACAACATGCTAAACATTTGGTTAAAATCGACTGTTGCGCAATGGTAAAGTTTCGTAAAACAAAATAACGAAGAGTGGCTGAATAGTAGACCCGATAGTGAAGGTTCAAAATGACAATAAAATGTGCCAGCAGTGTCAATTACTAAAAAATTTTTGATAACGTAAATTACATTTGTTAAACTCAATATTATGTCAATCGAAATGTTCATAAACTCCCTAAGGAAGGCAATTCAATGGGATCAGTTATACAGTGAATAGTGGTCCATTAAAGTATTTGTGCACAAGTTCTTTTTAAAGAAATTACTTTTTTTTGAAATATTTGTTTTAATATTTATCCAAACACTTCATTGCAGCATGTTGAAAGGAATTTACTGGACCACATAATAACATTCCCTCGGGAGCTCTATTAACCCAGTTATTCTAGGCTAGATGTATAGCTAAATACATTGTCTATAAAAATGCATGTCAGTTTAAATGACCCGCACGATCGCCAGACTTAAACCCTCTAGATTCCTTCAATTTATATTTCTTATTTTACTTTTTCAAGATATAGTATGGGCGTGTTTATATAGGAGTTTGAAATTCGAAACGGATGAAAAAAATCTCATCAAAAATCACACTAATCATCATCTTCACCGTGCATTATAATACCTAGCGTACGCTTTAATTACGCCCCACAAAAACCGTCGAAAAGGATGTATCCTTGAACGGGCACTTTAACTAAAACCCGATGCGTGCAGGTGGGAAAAAAAAGGGCCGGCGGCGGAAATGAGTTTTTAAAAAACCGAATCCCGTCCGGTTCAAACCGTCTTTGACTCTCGAGTCGTTTCAAATTCGCTCGAGAGGGGGCGCCGCGTGTCGGAAAACCACCGAAACTTTCGGAATTCCGTGGAGTTGCAACAACGAAAATGTCGAAAATAAAAGGAGTATCGTTTCTTTGTGGCCGCGATTGATTGTTATGAAAATAGTTTAAAATTAGTAACGGCTCGAAAATTCCGCCGGAAAATATTTGTGTATCGTCTGGGAAAATATATTTTTTTAACGAACAATAAAATGGTACTTACGAATGATTGTGTACAAATTAGTATCCATGGTATTTTTTGAGAACAATCCGCTTGCGAGTAATCCGATTTTAATCACACAAAACCGATTAAATCATTAGGTAAAACAAACATTTTCTTCTTTTTTTTTCCAAAAAAATACCTAATCTTCGACGCGCCGCTTTCGGCACTCCGCACAAAATCCGTTTAATCTTCCGAATAAATCACCATACAATTAAGTACGCGACGAAGAAACAAAAAAAAAACAACAAACACTTTAAGAGTCTACCCGAAGAACTCTAACAGAATTAAAATCCCTTAAAAACACTCCGCGCGGAAAACGCAAATGCAAATGCAAATCCAAATTTCCTTCTTCTCCTGCAACGCCAACTACCAACGAACAAACAACGCGAGATATGAATGTCTCGGATCGGACGCGCGCCGAGCTCGGCACACCAGCGGCTCTGACGGTGAAGCTGCGAACGCGCGAAACGGACTGGCCGTCGTGCCAGCGCCGCTCCGCCGGTTTTCTTCGGGGCTTTCCCTTCGCAGGCTCCGCGCCGGCCGCTGTCGAGCGCCTCCGACGGGCTCTTCGGCCGCCAGCGCGGTCACCTGTTAGGCCGGCGGCCCTCGAGGACCGGTGCGTGGTGTGGCGTAGCCCCGAAGAACAGGGAACAAAAAGAAGGGTGGAAGAATGAAGAATGCGCCCGGTCGTACAGGTGCTCGATATTTTTTTAATTGTCTTTTCGCCGGCACCGAAGACGATGTGATGGAATTGTGTGGTAGAAATTTTAAATTGTCGAGTTGTAATAGTTAGATTAAATGCTTTAAAATTCGTCTAATGTAGATGTTTTTTTATTAGTTAATTAGTCATATTGAACAGCTTGAAACTGTATTAAAGTGTACTGAATAGAATAGAACAGATTCAGAACAATTTATGACTGTTGAGAAACCATTATAGTTCTGAATTGTATTGAACATTTATAAAACATATAGAGCATCCTACATAATAAGTCTACAGTTACAAACTGATTTAAAATGTTCTACTAGAATGCAGAATCATTAAGAATAAACATTTAAATAGTTTAAAAACGATTCAGAATAGGTTCAGAACCGTTAAGAACCATTAAAATTCTTCTGAAAGTTTATGGCACATACTCAAGAAACACCCTAATTTAACAACTCTGCAGGTAATTAAAATTTGCTACAATAGAATTCAAAATTAATCACAACGAGTAGGTATTTTGTTAATATCATTTATTCTGATCAGTTCAGTACGATTCTGAATACATTTATTATATTCAGAATCGATCAAAATTGTATTGAAAATGTAATTAATTAAGAATTTTATTAAAATACCATAATTACCAATATAAAGAAGACATTTAACTAGTTATTTTTTTTTTCATCAAAATTATTATCGGGTATATAGTGTTTCTATACAGATTCCCATTATACTTCCGAATAATGGAAAGCAAAAGCGGCAAAGAAAGCCTAATAAAAGCCCTATCTGGATTTCTAAAAAGCCCTCCCAACATTAATACACGATTCTTTCGCTCCCTTTTCTCATCGGGCGTTCGCAAAAGGCCCGTTTTGCATATTACCATTCGGTAAATTTTTAAGGTTTTACGCTTTTCGATACCCGAATAAATCCGCCCGTATTTTTTTTCATAATCTAATATAATAGCGCGAAAGTTCCAATACGTTTCGGACGTTTAAAATTCCCTTATATTCCCGCCTTAATAAATTCGACGTGCGACGTCCCGACGACGTTTCGCCGTCGATGCGGTTAAAAGTTTGTTGTATCGAAATTGAATTTTCGCTTTCGCAAAAAGACAAAGTGATTTTTTCTCGCCTCCACCGCGCCTCGATTCCACTTGTTCCACCGCTCACCTTTAACTCGCTTCGCCCGGAAAAGTTTCCCGCTCGGGGAGCCCCGCGTGCACACGCGGAGAGAGCGCCCCGAAAAACCAATTGATTTCGCACCGGCTTGACAAATTCGACGGCGGCGCTTCGACGTGACCTACTAAAATAAATAGCTACTTAATTAAAGGGAGCCCCCTCGTCGGACGGCAATGTAGCCGAGTTAATGCCGCATGAAAAATAAAGGGACATTTACGTCGATGACGGGGAGTTCTATTATTAATCGATATCACGGTGTTTTGGCTTCGCGAACAATTTGTTTACTTCTCGATTTTCTTTTCATCATACTTCTAACATCTCGTTGACTATTAGTATTTTCAATAGATTCATTTTTACATTGATTCACATTTAGTATACTTTTCTTAAAGAATTGAGAATAAATATGGAAGATGTAGAACAGTCTAGAAGAATCTACAGTATAGAAGAATATAATAAAATCTACTAATAATATCTACTAATCTACTACAATACCCTAATAAAATCTCCTGTAGAAGAATCTACTGTAGAAAAAGCTTGTGTAGAAGAATCTAGTGTTAGAAGAAACTACTACAGAAGAATCTACTGTAGAAGAAACTACTGTAGAAGAATCTAGTATAAAAGAATCTACTGTAGAAGAATCCACTGTAGAAGAATCTACAATAATCTATTGTGAAAGAATGTACTGTAGAAAAATCTAGTGTAGAAGAATCCACTGTAAAAGAATCTTCTATTAAAGAATTTACTATTAAATCCACTATTAAAGAATCTACTAATAAAGAATCTATAATACTATTAAAGAATCTACTAATAAAGAATCAACTAATAAAGAATCTACTAATAAAGAATCTACTATTAAAGAATCTACTGTTAAAGTATAAGATTTCTCCTTATAATCATTCAATCAATCAGTCACGCCTGTAATTTTTTTGCAAAAAGAAATGGGACCACCCTATATAGGTGTACCAAAGTGTCGAGGAGATTCTTGCACGTAATTATTATACTAATAGAAAAGTTAATTAAGGTTTTCTATGAATATTAATTTAATCTGATTCGAATGGAAGTCGATTTTGTGCAATGAAATTTACATAACGAGCACCGGGAGAGCGTAATTGAAAAAAAAAGGGTGAAATTCCATTGATTCCGTTTTGAAAATGATTCGCTATAAAACGGTTAGGTCGCCTCGATGAAACGACCTAATAGAACAGTTCGAAGATAAAATGGCATTCGCTAATTTTACGAATTCGAAAAATCTACGCCAATGCCGTTGCGAACACATGTGCTCCAGCTTAATCAACTCGATGTAATTTTATATTTCGACAATCTAATCTCCCGCCGGAGCAAAAAAAAAACGTTCCACCTCCCTCCTGCTTCGGCTATAAAAAAACCTACTAAAATAGTCCGCATTCACACACAATCAACGTTAATAACACAATAGCAGAATTTGACTTTTAGTCGAACTGCCCCCTTCGCCCCCCCCGGTAAATCGAATCCACTTTACATTATAATTCCCGTCCTTCGGGTGAACGACCATCTGACAATTAATTTTCCATTCACGGTCGTAGTAGGTTGGAAATTATCTCGCAATCACGTGACATTAAAATACTTGGACCAAGTCGCTCGTATGCATAATTGAATCCACTTAACCCATATCTATTCCAGGCCACTTGTGATCCTTTATGTCCGTTGTACCGGAGGTCCAGGACGATTACGGATTCGATTCGAATTCAAGAAAATCGGTTTTTCCTCCAACTCGCCCGAGGCCGAATTTTTCTATCTATATCCAATAATACAGAGAGAAAAATCTACTGTAGAAGACTCTACTATAGAAGAATCTACTGTAGAAGAATCTACTGTAGAAGAATCTACTGTAGAAGAATCTACTGTAGAAGAATCTATTGTAGAAGAATCTACTGTAGAAGAATCTACTGTAGAAGAATCTATTGTAGAAGAATCTACTGTAGAAGAATCTACTGTAGAAGAATCTACTGTAGAAGAATCTATTGTAGAAGAATCTACTGTAGAAGAATCTACTATAAAATAATTCAATAATAAAGAATTTTAGTTATAAATACCATTCAGTAAATTTTAACTAACAAGCATAATATGCTCGTGGAAAAGTAATAATGAAGTCATAGCCCTGTTAAAGCGACGAACACTTGTATTAATTATTAAACGTTTCTAATCCATCCGTCGCAAATTCGAATTATTGTTATTGTTAATTTCAAACACCGTTCGGGGAACGAAGTAAAGTTAAAATTCAATTTGTAATTCGAATACCCACTCGATGTTGGGCGTCTCCTTCTTGCGCCTTATCTCGGCCATAATAAAATTATGACGGATCCGAAGTGGATTTGCTAAAAAGAAGTTTTCGGAATTAAAATGAAGTTTACGAGCGACGGGAACTCGCCATATTTATATTTCAACTTTAGTATTTGTTGTAACCGAATTCAGAAAGTTGTGTATACTTCGTTGAATAGTTAACGGAATTTTAATAATTTATTCCGGGCGGGGTTCCCGTTGCAAGGGTAGTAGTCTTGGAGATTTCGGGAGTATGAAATATTAATATTTTTAATTCAGACAACGGTGAAATTTAATTTAAAATTATCTTCCTATACAGAGTCGAAAATCCTTTGGGATGTGTTGATTAATTTTCGTCGAAAAGTTCTGAATTTTTTGCGTATAAATAAATTATAATTACCGATTTTTAACAATAGTAGATATACACATTTACGATGCGATAATTGATTTGTTTGAAATAAATCAAACAATGCTGTTGGAAATGTTGTGCAAGTCTCTCAATAAAAATTTACGGGCGACATAATTTTCGATATCGAATAAAATTTTAACGGTACAATTAAAGTGCACTTAATTTATTTAGTAATAAAAATCGACCGCATTCGTTTGGCAAATAATCGAAAAATTCAATAGTCCATTGAATTATTAAAAATTTGTATACAAAGTTTCCATTTAATTCGACAGGCAATCCAATTCGAAAAGAGTATTCAATTAGCAACATTATTAACAAAGATAATTATTATTTATTCATAGTAGTATCTATTACGAATTGTATCGAATAATAATTCATAGTTAGAATTAATTAGTAATTAATAATAACAATTAATATTCTATCGAAATTGATTTCGCGTTTAAATTATCATCCTCTAAAATATTTACAACTAATGAATGTTACTGCATATTAAAAAAATATCAGTATTTTATGCTTTATTAAAATGAACCTTATTAAGAAAAAAAATCGTAAAATATTTAGCACAATATGCATAAAATATACAGTAAGTAGAGGACATATTTCGGTTTATTTAGATTTAGAATAACAGTTAAATTGTAATATCATTCGATGACATGTGTGCTAGAAACCGCTATTAGTTCAGTTGTAACTTGCGACTGTTGTTAGGGATTAAACGACCTCCCGGACAGCCTTTCGTGTTTATTTTGTTGCTTACGTAAAACCCGCTCGGGATATTATACACATGTGTTTGTTTTTTACGCTTCTTGAATTATGGCATTGGGCCGTTTTGCCTTACTTATTTGCATATATTTTTGAAATTTACTTCGGTCCAACGCCACTCATCGCCTTTGAATCGTATATGGAGTTAATTAAAAATGCTAAAGATATAGAAAATTGAATCTACACTAGAAGAATCTACTGTAGAATAATGAAACGTAGAAGAATCTACTGATGTAGAAGAATCTGCTGTAGAAGAATCTACTGATGTGGAAGACTCTTATGTAGAAGAATCTACCTCGTTTTGTTTTACTAATTTGCATAATATTTTCGAATATATTTCGTTAGAAAGGCACTCGCCTTGGAATCGTGCAGTTAATTAAAAATGCCAAAGGTAGTGTATAAAATAAAACGATTCGTTGTTCATTCATGATTTCGTTTGGTTTGTGAATTAATTCGAGCCGAGGTCAGTTTTACTTTTATCGATAATTACGAATTGACTGTGTGGAAAAAGTCGCCAATAAATCTATTGGTAATTTCGCAATAATGATGCTCGAAACTCATGAATGGAGAGCCGATGTGTAGGTAGGTAGCCTTATAATAATTTCCGTTCGGTAATTAAGCGACAGAAAGAAGTTTATCGAGTTTTTGTCATATGAGAGGAATCGTGAGAAATAAACATCTTGCAGACATCCTGTACAGGTTGTTTTAAGTCTGGTTTAATTGATTATAGATAATAATAGATAATGCTCTTGATAATATTAAATTTATTAGAAAATATAGTATACCGGGTAAGTTTGCTGCGATATTGTCGAACAAGTTTTTTTTTTGGTGTGAAATTGTTGAGCTCAAACAACAGATTTTTAATTATTATAATAAAGCAGTGGTTAAAAATTAATCGATCGATTTGAATTGATTAAATTTAATTATTTAATTGTGCCGCTAAGATTTCTCCTCTTTCACTCGTTAGGCGCGAGTAATTGGAATTAGTTTTTGAAATCGAATTAATCAGCTTTTATTAATCCAAGATGTCCGTCAATATCTGGGTAACATTTTATAAACTCATCAACTTGTAGTTAGAGTTCTAGGTTTCTTTGATCTGATGATAAAATAAACAGATTTTTCAGGAAATTCCCGAAGAAAATTCCTCATGTAAATATAGATATCATTTCGATTAAACTTCCGCAACTAATTATAAAAAAACAACGTTGCCAAATCTCGAAATAAATCTCAACAACCCAGTAATCGAAAAATCGACTGTTTATTCGCACCTGTATCAATCTATTCGAAGTGATTTTCTCTTTCTCGACGGCTTGTAGATGGTAGAAGCGAGGATCACCGGTCGCCAGAACCGGTTCGAATGCGTCTTAATGACGTTAGGACATCCGGGCCTCCGGCGGTTTACTAGTAAATTGCGATATGAACTACTTAAAGCTCCGTCTCTGTCCGTCCCACCGGCGCCCCGCGCCTCTTCTCCTTGTCCCTTTTACTCCGGGCCGGTCGGTTCGTTTTTTTTACCTCGAACCTGTACGGTCTAAATTATGAATGGGCGATGCGATGCGTTTGTACACACGAATACAGGAGATGTTGATTCGAGTGTTGATTGCATCGAAAAACTTGTGTACTAAATTGTTTAAAGGACAGTTTTAGAATAATTTAGAACTGTCCAGAATTATGATGAACCAGTTTTGGACCATTCCAAAACCATTTAAAATCTTTTAAAACAGTTTCAGAATTATTTGGAACAGTATAGGATAAGTTAGAAAGGTACAGAACCATTTAGAAACGCATTCAAGTCTGTTTAGATTTTTTTTTGTAGAAGTTTTAGTCCCTGTATACTATACTGAGTTATTCTTACTAAACTATTTTTAATGATTTATTAGCTCGAATTTTTGTCTTCAACCGAATGAATTCCCGAGACCAATGCGGCCGTATAATTTATATTTTCGTAACGTTTGTGCTTCGAAAATAAATAGAACTCTCTGGCTTTTTTTTCTTTTTTCGGCGCGTTATCATCCCGAAAGGTGCATTATACACGACCGGGATTCGAATGAAACGGAGATATTAAAGCCATCTGGTATGCAGGGAGGTAATAGAGAAACCGAAACCGTAATGGCAACGAGGTAATGATGCTCGTAAAATTCTAATCTTCATTGGGAGCTTCGAAAATCGATTAATTAGCGCGACAAATGCGGGAGTTTTACGTCCGCTTCGATAATAATTAATAACGCTATATTGTTTGTTGGGCGTTAAAATTTTTAATTCGGGGAATATGCACAATTTCCATTTCGGGAATTATATGCAGTCGTCTAATCGAATCGAGCTGATAGGATACGGTCAAAAGGCAAACAGAAATATCATTTTTAGAGCAATATTATATTGCGTTGCTGTGTGCATACGCAAATTTATCGTTCCCAATCAATTTTACGGGAATTAGGCTAATTAAATTCGTTTTGTAAATATTATAATTGAATGTCTTTTGTAATCCTATTACAATCGATTGTAAATTTTCCTAATACTTCACATTCGAATGCGATTTCCCGTTTGTTTGCCAAGTTTAATAAGCGTTCGAATAAAAAAATATACAACGGCGATTTGCATAATTTCGCCGGGACCACTGGAAACCGGTATACAACACGAAAAAAAGCCATTTAAATATCCTACTAGGACCGAAATTCGAGAAAAGTTGCACAAAAGCGGACGCGAATTAAAATCGAATTTGTCTCGTATTTTCCCCCCTAAGGCCCTTTTTTGCCTCGATAAAAAAATATCGTGCGTTTATTTCCTAAAAATAATCGGTAAAAACCGCGCTTTTGTAACAATAAAATATACATAGAAATTATTTTTTTAACTATAAACGCAGCTATTTCCACAAGTTCGTATACTGTAGGTATAGAACTTTTTATCTTTTGAAAACTTTTTACAATACAGTGGAATAATAATGGTAATAACAATCCTTCCGTAACGGTAAAAATCGCTCCGATTGAAAAATAATTGATGCACGATTATGGTTTTTAAGATGGCAACACAAAAGATGTCTGAGTTGTTGTTGCATCGAAAATAAATAACGTTTCTTGCGGTGTTTTATTTTCGTATTGCGGTTTTACGCATTACGGGAGATTTGTATAGGCGCTTATTCCGTTCGTATACGTTTCGTAGGATAATCAATTGCTTTAATTTGTTTGTTATGTGGAAACGTATTTGTTTGCTGATGAAAATTACTGATATTATAGCAGTTAATACGTCGAAAAACACTTATGCGGTTATATTCAATAATCGCTCGATTGTTAGTTATGACCACCCTGTATATAGACAATTTTAAAATTTCAGGGGATCTGCTGCATGGTGTAGCAATTAAAGAAGGGATAAAAATATTCTAAATTGGGTAAATTCACGTTATTTGCACGATTTTCTGGTGTATTTGAATAAATCAGCGACGCCGATCTGCCAGAAACACACTCGGTTTTTACCTAATTATTTCCCCGGCGGTATTAATTTCAATTAATTCGTAATTTTAAGCAAAGCCGAAAGAGAACGCGCCCATCACCCCGTTCCTCCATCCCTCCATAGTGTAGTTT